GGGCTGAGCCATACCTGGGCGGACCGGTCGCCTCATTGGTGGGATAGGGACAGAGGGGTGGGGCTGAGCCATACCTGGGCGGACCGGTCGCCTCATTGGTGGGATAGGGACAGAGGGGTGGGGCTGAGCCATACCTGGGCGGACCGGGGCGAAGGCGCGCTGAGGAGGGGGGCAGGACCCATGGCGGAGGCGGCGGTGAGGCTGCGTTCGCGCTCATCCTGGTAGATGCGGTCTCGTTCTGCCTCGGGCAGCTGCAGGAAACACTGCATGGCGCGCAGGTTCACCAGGAGGGACTGCGATGCCATCTTGGGGTCCTCCTCCTTGCGCAGGATCTCAGACAGCAGGCCCTGGGGGGGGGGGGGAGCAAGAGACAAACTCTAAGTTAGAGCGGTCAGATCTATTACAAATGGGGAGAAGGGAAATCGAGCGGGTGGGGAAGTGATAAAAACAGAAATGTACTGAAATTGACGAAAGACTTAATCGTTATTTAAAAATAATGCTTAGGTAAGAACCTTTACTAACATCAGTGGAATATGGTTTATAAAATATTTAAATATCTTTGTAATTTAAAAAAATTAGATGGTTCTCACCTCACCAATTTAAAAATAATAAGTTGTCAATAAATTTTGCCCTGTGAACATTCCAGGGTGAAACACAGCGGGGCTAATCTTTAAGGCAGCCTGACAACATCACCGTTACACGCCACACTCTTTCAGGGATGTTGACAAAGCAATGCTGGACTTGTGGAACTGAACTGTGAGCCAAGGTGCTGAGCTGGCGGGATCCAAGATGGCTCCTCTGGAACGACCTCGCAAGGAGCGCCGAAGCTGAACGGACTCATGCGATTGGAAGACCAAACTAAATGTCTGATTGGCCAGAATCCTCGAGCTGCTGCACTGCAATTGGTGAGAACAGTGCAGTATGGGAAAGGCTTTAGGGTTTGTTCACAGGGTGTGACGTATGAATAAGGAATATCGTTACTGATTCGAGAATCATAACAGAATTCAGGGCTGAATTTAACAGTTTAACCACTCATCCTTGATTAAATAAAGTGATTCATAATGCAGTGTTGATGGGGGTGTGGTGGAATTCAACATACAGTCTTATCTACATGCCGTGAAGCTACATTATAACGTACAAACTGCAAGCAAGTGGAGCTCTCGGTGGGCCAGAAGCCACGCCAATGGGACATGTCCTCCAACAGCAACTGGTTGAGGATGGGCCAACGGCGGGCAAGGGGTGGGGGTGCAATAAAACACAGCAGAAGAAATGCAAAGACTGTTAGCGGTGTGGAAAACAGACTGAAGAACACTGGCGATTGTAGGGGGTGGGGGGGGGGTGTGCAGGAAAGCCTGCCAGTCTGCACAAAACCACCACTGTTTGCCCACTGTTTCCCTGCAGGGGGGGGGGGGAAGGAGAAAAAAAAAAAGCTATTCCACTGATCCAGGAAGATTTTATCAGAAACATACAACTTCAAAAGGAACCTCGGAGAGCCGTGCTTTGTAGCAACTAGCCCAGAAAAAAACCTTGCAGAATATCCGTAGACACCATCTCTATCTGTAGCTTCTGCTGGTGCTACGTGACCGAAACACACACACACCACCCCCCCCCCGCGTTCACCCGCCCCCTAGTTGGCGGCCGGCCAGGTGCGTTTACTGTGGCGACATTCCTCAGTCTCACCGCCGTTGTCATGGCGCTCCATCTCGACAGGAATCGGAGGGTAAATTGTTCTAATAATTGCCTTTAATAACAATGCGAGGCTTCGCCTTGGCGCTCGTGGCTCCACCTCCACAGGCCTGTTTGCGGGGGCTAATTCCTGACTACTGTAGCGAAAGAATAAAAGACAAAAGGAGGGGAAAAATAAAATAACGCCACCCCTCGGCATCAGCGAAAGACACAGGCGCGGCCCAGGCTTGGTTTCGTACACACCCCCCCCCCGATAAGCGGCTGAGATTGAGATAACACCGGTGTGAGGTGGAGGCGGCCGGTGAAGGAGACCGTGGCACCTTGGCCGGTGCAGTGTCACCACCGGCGCTCGAAGACGACGCAGGTGTGGGAGCATAACTGACGCAGTCTGGGAAGAAGTGCATTCACACTGCAGGGCATGTGGGGGAGGGGGGCGCGGTGACAGTGACTGTCTACCAGGAAACTTGCGAGGCGCTGGCATGATCTATGATTAATAGGTGATTTAGGGGACACTACGGCGCTCGCGGGGCTGAGGTCTTGCTCAAGCAAATGCTAACGACGCCCCGGCTGACAGAAAGACGACCGGCGGCTCCCTGTTGGCGTGTTGGGTGATGCCATGTGTCCCTGTTGGCGTGTTGGGTGATGCCATGTGACTCCCGCAACAGGCATGAAAAGCAGCATCTAAGCATCAATAGAACCTGCTACACCATGATCAAACCTGAGGACAGAGTATAGAGGACTGCCCTGGAATACAAGTCAAATGTTACCGTGACAATTCCCCTCAATCTTTTTTGCACACACACACACGCACACACACATGTGTGTGTGTGTGAGAGAGACAGAGAGAGAGAGAGCTGCACACCTGTGTCCTGTTGAAGGCCACGCGGGCGAACACAGCCTGTGAGATGCCAGCCCTCTTCAGCTCGTCACGCACCCACTGGTAGATCTCAGACGAGACCTCGGAGTTGGTGGCCGCCTGTGGCTCCAGGGGTTTGCCGAGGCCGCGGTTCACAGGCGGGTGGTTCAGGTACTGCTGGCTGAGCGACTGCTGGGCCAGAAGCCGGTTGACAGCGTACTGCTGGTTGAGGATCTGCGCCATGACCAGCTGCTGATTGACCAACTGCGGACTGATGGGCGTGGAGACTATGCCGGGGTGCAGGCCGGGCAGCTGGGCACGGACCGAGGGCTGGCCGCCATGGGACATGGGGACGGGTGAGGATGGGTGCTCCGGCGTGCTGCCCGGGATGGGCTGCTGGCTGTAACCCCCATGGTTGGAGCCTGGCGGGGAGCGGTCAGAGAGACTGTCCATCTCCACTGAACAGGAAGAGCATGAGAGACACAGAGACACGCATGAGCACAGAGACAGCATTGGCGAGACCCAAGCCAGCGCTGTTACAGAGTTCTGGAACTCGCAGGCCACATGGAGAAAGCGCAGCGCCAAACGTGCCGGGATACCGCCACTCATAGAACGGGGTAAAGACGTTAATCTCTGGCATCACAAGCAGATGGTGTCTAACTCTCCCAATCCAATAACAAGGAGTACGAGACAGCAGCGAAGACCCAAGGAGGATGAGAAGCCAGTTAGCAGGATTTCTGGGTAAACTTCCACCAGAAGTTCCAGTGCCGTTTAGACAGTCACTGATAAGACGACGGCACTCTTTCAGATAAATAAAAGGGCTGGGATTGCAAACAAAGCATTCTACACTAAGAGGGTCATAGATGTTTATCCTGAGGACCACTTCACCATCACCACCGATCCTAGAGGGCGATACCACGGAAATTAAAGCATGACGAGTTTAGGATCAGGGGTTTAACGCAAACCGCTTGGGGTACTTAGCGCAGGGGAAGCATTTACATCAACTGAAAGCTAGTACACAGCTATCAAAGACACAGACAAGCATCAGCGGCTCAGTCCGAACGTGGCGACGCTCTTCTGATCACCGTGCAGGAGATGGCAAGGTCCACCCTCCCGCAGAGAGGGAGAAACATCTGATCTCCTTATTTGTGCTGTTAAGCATGTGCATAAACTTCTGGGGTGAAGCGTGATAGTATCTGGTAGAATTTTGAGTGAAGAGGCTGGGATTCATTTCAAAACAAGGCAGCAGCGCTGATGTCGTATTTGACGTGGATTTTGAATGGAAACGCTAAATACAGGGTAGAAGTAAAAAGCAAATGAAACGGGAAAGGGAACGTCTGCCAGTTCAGCACTTCAAACAAGAACGGTGAGTAAGAGAGAGAGATCGACCCCATGGGGAACCCCGCATACTGCATGTTTATAGGTTTAAAAAAAAAAAAAACTTCAAAAGACGTAATATCCCAGCAGTGTGTGTGAGGTCGCAATAAGAAAACCCCAAACAATTACAAGCAAATAAGCCTTTGCAGGATTTTTGCTGTACAGGGGACAGTGAAAGACACACACCGGTCTCGGCTACTGTTTTTTTGCCTTTTTGATAAAGCTAGCTTGGAGAAAACGCTCAGAGGCAGCCACACACGCAGACACGGGCATGCACGCACACACCCAAACAAACGCCGCAGAGGCAACCGTGATGACAGCCAGACGCTGGCTAGCGACGCGACGCTAACTCCTGGGGAAAGTTTGACAGGCGCCCCGCTGAGACTCTGGTGGGCTTTATTAGTCGCCGGTGCCGTCAAACGTGGAGGCCAACGTTCCGAGAGAGGAATTCTATTGAGAGTCCCTCTGGTCATATACACACACACGCACACACGCACACACACAAAGGAGTTTAGTAAGGGAACCCCTGTTAACAGGAGGTTCAGTTTGGGTGACTCTCACAAAATGAAGCACCAGTACAGAGTTAAAGGGTGTGGTCTGTAGGGTGTTAAACGAGGCCGCTTTGGGCCTGGGTTTTATGCCCACTATGGAAGAGTGTGAAGAGCTGTTGTAGAGTCATGTTTAAAGTTCTGTCTAAATGCAGACCACACTGCAAGCCTGATGACGACCCCCCCGGCATAATATCAGACTGTGAAATCACACACGTTTCAGATTTCAAGAGTTGCTCTCCTGGTTTGATAGTTTTTCGATATCAGCTAACTGGGTTTTCCAGTTTTGACTTCCCAAGGGGGAAAAAAAACGGCTGTACAGCATTTGTGACAAATTGATAGCGGGCAAAAAAAACAAAACAAAAAAAACAAAAAAAAAAAAACAGCAGTAAACAACAGTTCTAATGTACTGGTGCATCACAAGTACACATAATGCTCAGAAGCAACTCATCTGGGTTTTCCAGTTCTGGCACGAGATTAAGTTCTGGGCTGGAAGGCGGGGGTCAAGAGAGACGAAAAGGGTCAGATAAGGAATTTCAACTTCCCCCAGCCATTTAGCTTTGCAAAGTAATAAAAAGAATATAAATAAATCAACATAGGCCATGACTGGGTCTGCAGTTCTCACCGGGAGAACTACTAAGCCAGCCACATCAAGGGCTGATCCGAATTTTTGGGTGCTGAGGATCTGCAGAACGGGGTTCTCACCTCAGTGGCCACATCCGGTTCCCAGCAGCCCCTCAATCACCCCACCCTCATAAATCCCTCCAGAAATGATGACACACTAACGTAACGTGAACAGCTGGGCCGGCGTGTGCAGCATCATAAACCCAACCATCAATAATTAGCGGCTCGTTAATTAGAGGAGTCTGATGGGTTGGTTTTGATGGTAGCCTCTCTCTTTTTGAAAGGGACAGTCACCAAAGACCAACTTTCCGTCAAATCGAAAAGTCCTTGTAGATGTAGGGGGGGGGGGGGGAGAACCCTACTAGGTGAAAGAGGGAACCCTACTAGGTGTTATTTGCCTACCGCAGAGCTGTGGGGGCTGTCGAGGAGAATGCCGCCCCCCCCAGGTAGCCTTCTAACAGTGAAGGTCAGCAGAATGCTAGCGTGCTAAGGCTACAGGCCTCATAAACCCAGCAGTACATCCCCCCCCCCCACCTTGGGAGCTACCAAGACCAAGGAGCTCATGATTTTCATAAAGCATCCACCCGAACGGGCGGACGGAGTGACTGACACGTGTTTTCAAAAAGAAAAAAAAAAAAACTGTCTGTGGGATTCCACACACACAAAAAAAAAACTAGACAAATCAGTCTGATGCAGCACGAAGTGCAAATGCAAGCCAACGGCATTATTTAGGCGTTCATTTGAAGGGCACTAAACAAATTCCCGGCTAAACAAGGTTTTTTTGTTCCTTCCGCTAGTTTCGTTTCACTTACCCATCATATCCTTTGTCTTCTTGAAATGTTTATACCACCGGCCGAATTCCTGACACTTGGCTGCTGAGACGTTTGCATAGTAAGTGCTGTTCACAATGGACGAAATCATACTCTGAAAAGGAAAAAGGAGAAGGGAAAAATTGTTAGTGGGACACATACGTTGAACGTGGCGTGCAGGGACACCCCAGGCTACGGAGAACATGGGCCTGCATCAGGAAACCTCAACAGCTTTGGGCTATTTTTCCTGGAGGAAAAGCAAGAAAAGATAAGGGTATTTTTCTCATATAAAAATGTGTATGTATGGCTGTTTTTTTTTTTTTGTTTTTTAAACCGCCAATCAGAAAAGGTAATAAACCCAAAATCCATTTGTGAATAACAGACTGGGACCTGGCGGCACAGAGATAAATGTTTAGAGGCACGTCGTGCAAGAGCCTGGTGCACTTTGTGGGGGGGGGGGGGCAAAAACAGACACTAAAATTTGAGGAAAATCTGCGATGTTCAAATACAGCCTCCATAAAAAGAAAAACACCAGTAATAAGCGCAGATGAATTCCACCCCCCCCCAACCACCAAATAACTGTGAGTCATTTGCCACAATCTGCTAAAGAAACTATTTTTTTACCTTCATGTGAAAAAGACAGAATCAGTAAGCAGATATGACCCCCCCCCACACGATCCGGTGCCATTTTTACATTTGATTACACATTTCAACTTTTCATATTTATTTTAATCCATTCCCCACAAACAAGAAATGGGTTGGGGGAGGGTGAGTGGGGGGGTGGGAGTTCCTTTTATTAAAGCAAACGATGTTCCCGCTGCCCTGGGGGCACATGGCAGAGAGTTTGATTGTTATAAATATTCAAAAGACTAAACCATCTGTTTTCAGGTTACAGGTATGCCATCTTCACCATTTCTAAGGGAAAAAAACACACACAAAAAATGGTAAATAGAGAAAAAGGAATGACTTCCGGCTATGAATGAGCAGCACAAATCAGTGGCTTCTGCCCCCTTTGCCTGACACTCCTAAACAGAGAAGGGACTGATCTTTCCCTTTGGGTCGGCATTATCCCGGCCACCTTTCTAAGAATCACTGCTAAGTATGAATATCGAGCTGCATCGAGCACTGCATCTCGAAGCTCGACGAGTCCCAGAATCCCTCACGAATGTTATTCTACATGCAACACCCACAGGTTCACCGCGGCCCAATTAAAAATTAACATGACAGACCCACCCCCTTAAATCAAGGAGAATTCCAATAAAAACATGCTCTTTGGTTGTGTTTGGCTATGTTTACATCTACATGTCATATATATTGTGTATATATAGAAATACAATTTCTTTTTTAACTATGTTTCTCATAGAGTGTAGTCAAACTGCAACATGATCCCTGCACATAATCGTATAATTGTTCTTGTAATTAGCTTTGGGCCAACTTTAAACGTATTTACACTTTGGCACGGGACATACCGGAGGCATTCGCTGCTAAAATTACAACCGACAACTAAAATTCACTCATTATTACTAAACACCGATAACAAAATGCAAAATAATGAAATAAAAGCTGACTGATGCCTCACAGTCAAAACTGGCATAAATCACCACCATTATTGAAGTAAAATCAAAACACCTTAAAGGGCTCTGGTTTGACTGACTTGGCACAAATGCTGTAATAAATTTAAGGTTGGCGTTTGTTCAAAAAAAGGTTTCGGGTGCAACGACACTGAAGTGGGCGAGTGGAGCCGTCCTCTGAGCTGAGGCACGGAGCAGTGAGAGCGTGGCCTGACACGGGCCCTTTAAGTGATAACCATCTCCCAACCCTGTCACCGTGCCCAGGAAGAATCAGGAGACACTATCTGCCAAAACAATCTCTAGCTTCCGTCAAGGGGAGAGGCTCACAGAGACGTCACCACGCGGGTCCAACTCACCCCATGAACCCGCACAAATATCCGCTCTCTATTGTATGGGGGGACATGGGTTATTCCACCCCCATTTAACACATCTTAATTACACTCTTCTGACATCGGCAGCATGGGGTGGGGTGGGGTGGGGGGGGGGGGCGGCGGGAATGCTGTCACTTTAAATCCACAAGGGCTTTCGAAAGCCCACAAAGATGGCTTTTGATGGTTTTCTGCTGTGCGAGAGAATGACTGCTTTGGGAGGGATTCCTCTTGTGCGTGGGGGTATGTGGGGAGGGGGAAAAACACACAAAAACTCCAAAAAGGCACAGATTTAGAAGATCAGACCTTAGGTTTACAATATATATATATATATATATATATATTTTTTTTAAGTTGGGGGTGGAGGGTTGGGAACTGATGTAATAAACGACTTCCCAAGTCGAGACTGACGAAGCAGTAATTAGCCAATGCTGCAGCTGAAATCCACTTCCTTTCTGACTCGCCACTCGGCATGCCACAGGGTGAAGGTGCACACTACAAAATGCACACAAGAGTCGCTACGCGCCGCACGGTGAAAGAACGTGCTGGTATGCTTGCGACACTGCGGTGAGGTCATCCCTCCTCTCCGTCTGCGAACCTCTCTAACACACTCCATCCTGGGATTACAGGCCTTAACGTCGTGAAAATGCTAATCCAAGAACAGAAAAATCCGCCGGTCATCCCTATTTTCTACAACAGCTTTTTTCCCCTGTTTTGTCATAGTTGGAGACCCTGGTCCCTGCTAGACGCGGCATGTCAACACACCAAAAGCTACATAACGCTTCAAAAAAAATTATTAAAAAATAAAAACACGAATACCGGGGCAACAATAACCAGCCTATTAACCAGTATATACTGTGTGTATATATATATGCAGCACACAAACCGCAGAGTGATATTACACGCTTCTTAAAATAAACATCATAAAATTAAAAAAAAAAATAAAAATCTGTGATTGTGAAAAATAAATCACTAACCTACACAAACTGCCTCATGCACTTCATTTTACAGGCTGAGGTCAAATCTAACCCACACGCAGCAAGGGAAAAAAAAAGTGTTAAATGAACGGAGCAGACGACAAAGATGGTGTAAATCCACGGTCGTCGTCGATATAACAACAAAACGTATCAATATTTTTCTGCAGCAGAGTATTAACAGCTGGTATGCTGCATAACCAGCTGTCCCAGGCACGGTGGGGGGGGGACACGCCTACCCACTCCGAGTGGTGTAGCGGTGCAGGACGGCATTTCAGTGGCAGGATAAAACAGATTCCTGCCTCCCTTTGTGCCTCCTTCTCTGCAACTGATGTACCCCCCCTCCATCATTCCCTGGCAAAGGGCAGAGACAGCGCTCTCATCCCAGAGAGCCCCCACCCTCTTCTGGACCGGGATTATGATGCCACAATGCTGTAACCCCCCCCCCCCCCCAGGTAAAGTTAATATCTGGACTGCCATCGGCAGCAGCCTGGGAAACGCTGCTCTCGGCATCAGACCCAGCCAGAGTCATTTCAAAAAGTGTACATTACGATGCCATGGCGACCAGAGTCATTTTCATTGGCGATCTGAGCTTTGTGCAATCAGCTGCTATTTCAGACAATGCCCAAGTCTTTTTCAGGACCATGATTGCTTTCCTCGGGGATTCTGAGGCTGGCTCTCCACCCAGATCATAACTTAATACTATGAACTCTGCGTTGGACTGCCATTCCATCCACTGTGTACCCCTAACTTGAACCCTATGCTGCCTGGGATGGGCTCCAACCCCACAACCCCCTCCTGGTTCACCACCTGTGGACAAGCTCAATGAGGCCGAGATGCTACAGAGCGCTGGCAGCCTGGCAGAGTCATGCAGTGGCTGACGGTTCGAAGAGGTCCAGGAAGGAGGTAAGGAGGCTTTGATTAGCATCATCCTGCTAGCACTTGCATGCTACCAGGAGAGAATTACTGTGCCATGTTCTTCTGGAGCTCAAGCGTGCCTTCAGCCCGAAATTATCAGCATTGCCCTTGGTGGGGCAATCCAAAAACGCTTATTGTCAGACATGGACTAATACCTTGCTCAGAGCTAATATTCCAGCAATCGCTCCATGAAATGTTTACCTATCATGATTGCGGGCCACACTAAAGCACAAAGTGGTCAAGGAAACTGAACCTCTCATTAAGATTCTCTCAAAACTCAGGGGTCCCTCTTCCCTATTGTTCAGCACAGACGTAGAATTACTTGGTTCAGTTATGCTCGGCAGTCGCGGGATGTTCTGAAGTCGCACTATCCCTTACATCATCTTTGCTGAACGCGGACCCTGGAAATAGCAATATAAATTACTTAAAAAAATACATTAACTGTATCCAAGACGGCAGCCTGACCAGAAGCTGCCTGGGGAATGAGCTCATGTGGGGGCCGGTCCGTGGGCGTTCAGAAGGGCCAGAGAGAGGCGGCTACCTGCGAAAGGGGACACTCCTTGGCCAACGAGCTCTGGTTCATGTCCTTCAGCAGCTCCTTGAGGGCGTTCCTCACGGTGGAGTGAGTCCACTGCTCGGGCGGCAAATCCTCCAGCTTCGGGCAACTGGAGAAAAAGGGGGGGCGGGGCAGGGTGAGCGAGAGAGAGAGGGGAGGAAGAGTGATACTAGAGCAGGACAGGGAGCTGGATGTGTTCCTACAAGACAGACAGATTTCATTTGGGGCATGATGCAGATCCATCTGGAGAGAGCCTCCACCCCCTCCCCCCCCTCCTGATTGTTCTGATTAGTTAATTACTTTATACAACACATCTGCTGTGTTGATGCATGAATTATACATCAGCTGCATACGGCGACTATTATTCCACGTTACTTCTACCTTCCTGCTCTGATCTGCTTGGCCGAGCAATTTAAGGTGTTGGGGAGGGGGGCGGGTTGGTTTGCCCCACACGCACACGCACACGCGCACACGCACACGGGCTCTGAACACTTAATGTATATGAGGTAGGCGACATGCTTGAATTTCTGTACAAAGGGAAAAATTTTCCACAAACAAGGCTGAACGGTGCAGCAGTTTTAGATAAAAGAGGACTAAAGAACTCAGATCCAGGTCGTCACTTGGACGAATGACGTCTTGAATCTTAACGCACATCCACACTCTCCTTCCAGGGAAGCAACACAGTGTACAAGGTTCTCAATGTCACTGATACTTGTTAACCATACAGTTTAGGTGGATGTGCTTGTAAATTCGTACCCTTAAGGCACCTGGCTGTTCTAGAAGTGTCTCCAGGACTTATAAGGGGGTGTTGGGTGCAGAAGGTCATTGGTCAGGCAAATAAGCCTGTGTGATTAGGGTTGGGGCTGTGATTGTATGTGAGCATCGGGGGTCCGTAGGCACCACGTCCAAAAGCCCAACCAGAGGGTCCAACCTGTGCAGCTGAATCTTCAGCGTGACGACGTGGTAAACGTCCTGCAGCATATCTGCCACCGTGGCGTCAGGGGCGTCTGTCACGTAGGACAGGGGCACGGGGTTCCACCTACCCACCTGGATCAGACCTGCCGGGGAACAGGGGCACACCCTGAACAGAGGAGCATGGAGGGGGCGGGCCACAAGCTGACTGGCCCACTCCCCTGTCACTCACCAATTTAAGACATATCACTGGCTAATAAGGCTGGCGCCACTATATGAAATATGGTGTCTCTTATACCCCCCCACTTTAAAAAGGAAAAAAAAAATCCTACAAACGCCCCTGACTTTGAGGCTGGGGCACAGGACAAAACAAAGAAATAAATGTAAAAAATGTAAACCCACCAGCTGGCAGAGCCGCACGTGGTTACAAGTGGGAAGCGGATCGGTTATTTAAAAAAACAAAAACAAAAAGATATGCAATCGGCAGCCCCGCCCCCCCAAGTGGCGGCCAGCTGTCAGGTGGCTGATGGATGTCTCTGGCTTTGAACTTCACAATGGGGAAAAAAATTAAAAATGAAAAATCCGGCCTTTGAGCACGATGCAGTTCTGGGACAGAGAGCACCTGTGACCACTGGCCGGGCGCATTCCAGACATCCACCGTAAAATGATTAATCTGCAGTAGCCGGCTTCCGTTTGGCGGCGACTTCCCATCGGGGGGGGGATAGGGGGGGTTTAGTCTGTGTAGGTTTTCAGTACCTTTGGCCTGGGCTGCCGAGCTGTGGGAATATCCCAGTGAGAGCAGCGCCATCTCGATCAGCTGGTTGAACAGCATGTCCTTCCGCACCAGTACGAACTCGGCGTGCTCTTCACGGGCATCGGTGAACTCGACCGGACTCTCATGGTGCTCCACCACACAGAACACAGGCAGCATGTTACCTGGGGGGGGGGAGATGGGGCACATGGACCAATCAGCTTCAAAAACGGACCAATCAGCTTCAAAAACACAGGAACAATGTTGAGGTAACAGCGACAGGAAGCTAAACATCCATGTTCCCCACCTAACTCTACCTATCCCCGCCTAACCACTCCATGTCTGGGGCAGCCGCACATCACCGAGTGCTAAAAATATGGCTCGGTTCAGACCCAGAGGCACAGGGAGGCCTTCACGGCTTCATGGTTGACCAGGCGGCTCACGCCTTTACACTCGACTCGACGGGGAGCATGATGTTAGAGACGCAGCGGATAGGTGTGCAGAAGCCCCGCCCTCCAAACCCAGATCACCATGGTAACCAGAGCAACTCTGCAGATGACCCAGCATTCCAGTCAGCAGGAGCCGTCCGTTTAGAAGTTCATGGAAAGGCGACTAGCATCCAGAATGGCTGTATACCCCCCCCCCCCCCCCCCACCCATGGAATCTGCATCGGTGACTGGGGAGAGGGCGGTCAGAACGTGGAGTGAGTGGGATTCTCCACGTCTAACAGAAGAACGTCTCACAATGCGGGCCACTGCATCAGCGCATTCCCGGATCAATATCGGCTTTGTTTGCAGTGAACGGACAGAGACGGAAACGGGCGCCTGCCAATGTCCTGCCACACGCCACGCGCCGCCCGGCTCTGTGCCCATTACGCATTCCGCAGGGCAACATTCCCATGGAGAAAAATAAATAAAAATAGGAAGTCAGGGTGCAGGCCCACAGATTCCACCTTGATAACAAAGCATCCGTTTACCTGAAATGACATCCAATTTATCTTTATAAGTATTGGTGTATAGAAATGTACAAAAAGACAAGGCTAACGGCTAAGCTGAGATGCCTGGAAGACTGACCAGAGGCGAATCAATCACTGTTTATTACGCTATAAACTCCAACTTCGATTTAAATCCAAACAAACACACCCAGAGACGTGAGGATGACTCTCTGCCACTCCATTACAGCATGTACAAGACATCCAGAAAAAAAGGACAAGAAGGATTTCAGGGATAATTCATAAGAATTCTAAAATGCCACAGATTTAGGACTTGAATTCTGCCATCTATGTTCAAAGATGCCACAAATCCAAGACAGAAAAGGCACAGGTCACTGACCAGCGTCAACCAAGAGGTGAACAAACGACAAAAAAGAAATTCAAACAAGTTATAGCTCTTTTCAGCCTTGCTGAGAACCCAGGGTAGAGTATTAAAATATTTCAAAATACATTAAAAGCACTGTGCCACACGCAGCTGATGTGTGACAAATCTGTGAGCTTGGACCAGGCCATCAACTTGCTCCTCCTCTGAAATGGCCAACCAAATGCTTGCCCAGAGTTTGAGTTTCCAAACACTTATCAGCTTTCAACAGCCACTCATAATTACGAAGACCTGGAGAATGTCTTTTTTTTGTGCTTTACCTCTCTTGTGGGACGACTTCAGGATGTGCCCCGAGGCCTTGAGGGACACTCCAGCCAGCTTGGCGCCGTTGCTGCCCAGCCGGGCCCTCCCCAGGGGGCTGCCGTTCTGCTCCAGCCGTGCAATTTTGGCAGGGGGGCTCTTGTGGTCCCCGACACTGTTGGGCAGCTCAGAGTTCTCCTTCCCCAGGCACGAGTCGCTGAGGTGGTCCATGGTTCTCAGCGTCGCCGCTCGCCGTCACCTGCGGAGAGGTCGCAAGCTGTTATTATTCCCGTCTTCCGCGTCGTGGTCGATGGCCTGTCACCTACACCTATACCGATGTGCAAGTACAATGGCGCACGTGTAACCAGATGTCCTTCCAAGTCCTTTGTGCACCCTTTCACGATTCGAGGGGAGGACAAAAACAATCCTTTATTTAAAGCAAATAACGTATAATGTAATGTCAAAAGAGAACGAGGTTTTGTTGGGGGAAGGTACAGCAGAGCGAAATCCAAATAATTAGTGTTCGTCTGCCAGCTTGGAGAATGTTCAATTTTCCCCCATAATGCACCTGCTGACGCCCTTTAGAACGGCATCTATGCCGATAAATTCAAATAAATTCCAGACTCTCCTCAAAGGCTGCTGAACGACGGACTCCGCCGTACTAGAAAAGATTTGATATAAATGTCACGATAAATTATTGATAACTTGCTGTACTAAAAGGCTTTTAATGAAACTAGGACTGTGCTGAGGATCGCCTGGTAAACCAAAAGGGTGTGAAACCATTTATCTGACTTTGGGCAATAGATCTCTCTTCAAGACCTCTGACAGCAAGAGCCTGCATCTGTTTTCACCAGGGTGATAATGTTCACCCAGTGGTGGTGTACTGTGTATCCTGCCCTCCGTTTAGGACAAGCTTACTTAAAAGGTAAAATCCCACACCTGAAATGGCTTAGGGTTAGCGTAAGCAGATTGGTAATTAAGAATGCTTGTAAATGTCAACAATAAGCCATCTGACATATACTCTTCAGACTGTCGCATAAATACGGGCCACAGTTCACTTGTGCTGGGACTATAGTCCAGGCCAAGGTGCAGAGAATAAACAGCCCCTTCAGTGGTGGGCAGTGGTGGCTTTAATGGTTAGGGAAGTGCACTTGTAATTGAAAGATTGCAGGTTCAAATCCCTGACCAGCAAGGCACCACTGAGGTACCCTGAGCAAGCGCTGAATTAGCTGCCCCCTGCTATGTCACATTGTCACATATGGGTTAAATGCAGAGAACACATTTCGTTGTGGTGTGTCAACAATAACAACTAATCACCAAATTAAAAATTCACGCTGGGTCCGACAGGTCGACCGTACATCAGGCATCAAAACCGCTGGGAAACATATATATCAACTAAAGGGTAAAGATCTGCAATCCGTTCATTCATAAGCAACCTAGTATGTGTTCAGAAACTAAGACTAACAAAATAAACTTACTCTCCCCTCTGGGCCAGAAGGGGGGGGCTAAAGACACCAAAAAAAATCCTGGTAATCTTTTCCCTTTGTATTGAGTAATATGCAGTAAGCCAGTCTGAGACCACAATTATCCCTGTCTCAGCACTGGTTTGACAGGTTCCCGACACAAAAACAGGAATTCACAAACACGTCATACCACAGCCAGTCAGTCCCTTGATGGATCTTAGACATTGAGGTTTTTAAAATTGCACAAATTGCTTAAAAAAAGACACACACACACACACACACACACACACACACACACACACACACACGAAGACAAAATTGAGGTATTCAGTCTGCTATACGAAGGGATCCAGCTGCCTCGAGCAAATAGCATCCTGGAGAGAAACCTGACACCATCAATTAAATTAATTCTCACTCAACCTCACGCCTTTACGCTCAACTCAATGAGAGCGTTTTCGAAGGGGAAGGATGCCATTAGAGTTCAGCCTGGGCTCTCTGCACTCAGGAGTTATGCTGGTATCACGCGGATGAGATGTCGACCGAACAGTAACCGGTGCCTTCAGTTAAGGAACGCAACCCCAGCACCCCAAAACCAAACCATCCAAAACATGGTAAGAGGTGCCTCTGTAGGAAGGACGCGGTCCACCAATACGGGCCAAAAAAATCATGGTTGTGGCATTCTTCACTAGTCCCCCGTAAAGGAAAACAATAGCTCAATTAAAACATGAAAAAATTACAATAAATCAAAACAAAAAAAGTCCACACATAATACCTCATGCGGAGCCCTAGGAGAAATGCTAAAACGCATTAACATCATGTGTAAGATTGTGGTTTTCATGAGCTGACCTACACCATCTATAAACACATCAAATTTACAGTTCTGCTTGTTGCCAATGCACCAAAAACACACCAACGTGACCTTCAATCTTCAATACACCACGTTGGAGATTTTGCCGCCTCAAATCCGGTTATAATGCTTTTTAGATCTTGTTATGTCGTAGAAATAAACTTCCAACTTAAGAGTTTTCTTTTTTTCCCAACGAAATTAAGTCTCAGACATGCAAACTTATGACTGCAGTGCCCCCATCTAAAAACACCGCGTACGGTAACGGGTGGCACAAACAAGGCATATCTGCAATAATAATATTAATGCACGTTACTGTGACATTTTCAAAATATTAGAACGACTAGATCCAGACTCCGCACCTCGTAAAGATCCAGGTCAGGATTTGGAGATGACCTTTAAAAAACAGAAAAAAAGACAAGAAGGAAAAAACGATTCTGTAGAGAAACAAGGACCGATCGAAACCAACCTGAAACTTACCACTTGCTAACTGGGAAGCGCATAAAGCCGTGCAGGGCGGTCGCTGTCTCTCTTCAAGTTCCTTCGGATGACGAACAAAAAAACCTAAAAGTTTTTTTTCTTGCGTGTAGAATTCTTTTGATATGTCAAAGAGTATTAACAGTCCTCTCCAATTACAGATTCTCCCTGATAGCAGAAAAGGCGATTTGTCCAAAAAGGACGAAACAAATATTCACATGTGAGGGGCTGACTGCAAATGCGATAACACGGGTAAGCGATAAAAAAGACGGCTGGCCAGATGCAATATATCCGAGACCACTATTTGGCGGTAGTGGTAATATTGCATTTACGCCACAATAAAACGACCTACCATACCAGCTCGCAAATACACCCGGACGCCTAGAAAAGTTTCCTTTTTAAGAAATATACGCACATCGCCCGTCGATGCCTGCGTGCTCTCCGACGGACTCGGCGGCTCAGGTCCGCCTGGAAAACGGCAGGTCGTGATAGAGGAGCCGGGAGTAAACAAACGCCGAAATATCATTAAGCCCGTCTCGGTGCAATAAGGGACATGTCAGCCGTGCGCGATCGCTTTGCGGATCTCAAGTTATTTTCGCCTTTTTTCGCCTGCCTACTGTCAGGGCAAAGAGGGAATAGAGGATGACCCGTCTTCTCATGAGAAAACAATGCACGGCCGGCGATCGCAAACAGGTAAAAGTACGCTTTAGTCTCCCATCTCCGAGGAGCATCGAGATCGCTAGAAACGCATGGCGGTTTTGTTCGTGGTTGGACGGAGCCTCGCTTTCTTTCTTTCTCTCCCTCCGTGTCCCCATTAAATTATTAGTTGTATTGACTCATCACTCCCCTAGCTTGCGCCGGCGCTGCCCGCGCTTCTCCCCTTTCTCCCCATTTCAACAGGAAAAAATAAAATAAAACAGAACCCGAAGCGGCCGCCCCAAAAGCGTTTTTTTGGTCGCCTGGGACGGCCTCCCGTGACGGCCGATGTCCTGGCTAAGCGGAGATCCTAAAAAAAAAATAAAGTAAAAGTGGAAGGAATATAGAGGAGGGTGCGATTTCCGGCTATGCGCGTAGGAATTTTTAATCAGCTTGATTAGTGTGAGGCGGCTCTGCATTTATTACAGTATAACACACACACACACGCGCGCGCGCCACACACACACTAAACAGACACGCGAGCACGCACTCTTACTTTCTCATATGCTCGCGCATTGAGAAATGAAAATCTCAGTATTAAAATATTTTATCCCGAAAACACTGATCATCGCCGAGGCTGTGTAGATGCACTTGTGTTAAGTACTCCAAGGCACAATTTCTCTGCACTTACTGTCAGTCGCATCATCAGCTGAAAGAAAGCTGCCCCCGTGATTTCTATCTTGCTGAAATGTAACACACAGGAAAAAAATCTATATGTTGTATAATAAGATGCGAGGATCCAATAATAAAAGTATATCTGTAGAATAAAAATGCATAAATTGAAATCATCTCAGTTACCATGCTGGCATTGTGATTTATTTCCCCCGGAAAACGGGTTCGCGTGTTTTAAACGAGCTCCCGTGCTTATCCCGAGACGCCCATACAGCGAAGCCCAGCACAAAAGCAGCCGCCATATGGCACCGAGGCAGGGGAAGGATGGCTTATTAGGCTCGCAGCGCAGGCTGACTTTGGCCATTGAGGTGGGGGCACTGACAGGTTACGCGATGGCGCGCCTCATGCACGGGGGCTGCTGGGGAACGGGGGCGCGCCCTCTGGGGTGTACTGTGTGATCGCACCGTTGCGAGCCTCCAACCAGCATTTTACACCTATTTTTTAGCAGACCGTTTGTATTTATTTCCTGTATTTCTACGTTCACGTCCGGGAAAATTGCTCAGCTTTATTAAGTTTGCTTCTACAAGCCAGTTTTCACCAATAAATTAAATGTTTAGAAAACGCCCGGGTTTGAAATGACGGGTTTGAAATTATTCTATTCGTAGAAAAAAAAACACACTCATTTTTTAGCAAGTCACTCCACCTCTACCTTAGTCACAACAGAGATATTTCAAACAAATGTATCAGACTGAAAATGATCTATCAAAACAGAACAAAGCTAAAATTTTTGTTTCGACATTCAAAACAAAACAAAAAAAAAATACTGGAATATTTTTAAGAATGACCTCTATGAAATACACATTACGAATGATATCTCAGCAGCATTGTGACAGCGAGGTGTAAAAAATATTCCACGTATAAATAAAACAACCAAGGTTCCTGCTTGCACATTTCAAGTAGGCGCTGCTGTGGGAGGTTAGGACAATTCGACAGGCCCCTGAGTGACAAGGGCCCTAAAAAAAAATTGTAAAACGGATTGGTCTGGACTGGGGGGCCCAATATGATATGCTTTCATGGGGGCCAAAATTTCTAGCAATGCCCCTGAGAAGATATAATGATTTTTCTTTGCATGAGAATAAAAAGTATGTTTCTGGAGACTGAACAGGGTCTGAAGAGTTTGTTTCCGAAACAGCAACAGCCAGCCTTATGTGAAGATGCTTCTGTTTTCAGCTACCCCCTGTCTGCCGTTCTGCGGACTGTTAATATTTAGCATTAGCCGACGCTAGCTGGGGGGGGGAGGTTTAGACACGGATAGGAAGCTGTCATGGGGGTGGTCTTGGGCGTTTGCATTCCCTGCCGCTTTATCATGTCAATAAAAGTTCAGACAGGCTCCGGTAGCAGCCCCCAAAGGCTAGAACGCTGCCCCAGTTGATATACTAACAGTAACACACAATGGAAAAAAAGAGGAATATCAAAGAAAACGCTATCTTTTAATTACAGAGGAGGAGTCAATGAGGCAGGTACCCATTATAGGATGATATGGGGAAAATATGCTTGTTGGTTTGCGATGACTGCAAAGTATACTTGGATAAGTAGGACAACCATTATTTAACCATAGTTTGGCCACTTTCTGCTGTCTTCATGGTTTTCCGAATCAAGTGAACTCTGAGCTATTAGTTAAGTTCTCCCCAGACGAGCTTGATGGGCCGAATGGCCTCCTCTCATTTGTAAATTCCTTATGTTCTTATAAGATATAATCAAATAAGTCACTATGCTCTATCTTATATCTCTTAACAATACGAAAGCATTTAAAAACCACAATTTAAATATACAGACGCTCCTCTACTTACGAACTTTCAATTTATGAACTTTCAGACATACGAACGAAGAGGACTGTAAGTCCAAATTGTGTTCCTTGGGCTCCCGTTTCCTGTCCGCGACAAATTCCGCCCAGTACGACTTCTGGCCGCTACTCCCGCCGCGCAGCAGCGTAGCGTGCGAACTCCCAGCATCCTAGTTCTTTGTACTTGCGTAAATCCTTAAAATGATGTTGAATAACGACTTGCGAACATTTCAAGTTACGAACGGCTGTTCAGAACACAACTCGTTCGTAAGTAGAGGAGCGTCTGTATAATGTTAGCTTGCCTTTTAGAGTGATCAATATATGTATATACATATATATCAATATAGAGTAACCAGGGCTCTGGTCTAATCGACCAAAAGGTAACAGATTCAAAAGGTACGCAGCTGACCTACATGGACACACTCAGTTACTGAAAGCTTTCATCAGATGTCAGGTTGATCTTGATGAGACAGTGGCCTTAAGTAATGAACAGATTTCAAACCTGTATCAGAAAGATCACAACTGAAGATACACAGAGCTAGTGCAGCAGGTACTAATTCAGCTACTTCTCACCCAATGGGAAATTGCAGGATTACGGATGACCTGGGAATAGTGGTCAGGATACCAGTCCACTAAAGGGCACTAACACACGCTACAGGAAATTAGGACGCAACCATTAACCCAAATTCATGTTTTTTTCTGGACTGCAGGAGATGATCAGAGTAACTGGAGGAAACTTACCGAACACAGAGAGAAGCTGCAAACTTCACACGTGAAGCGGAGGCGGGATTCGAACCCCCAACCCCGGAGGTGTGAAGCAATAGCACCACCCACTGAACCATTGTACAACCCATTGATGTGTTGCTTAAAACAAATTCAGTTTAAAAAGGTACAGGCATTGTAAAAATATCACACCATGGCCACGCAGTTTCCAGTCACCTGAAAGTGCTCGTCTTCTAAAGCCGTGGCCAAAAAAGGTCGATTCTCAGAGGCGACGCCTCTGCAGAGGTGGAAGGTGCAGCGTTGCATTTCCTTAGAATGATACTGTGCTGTTACTCCGGACCACAATCTTTAATGAAAAGCCACCACAAGGCAAAAAAAACAAGCGGCGCCGCGGCAGGAAACGCGATGCAACATCTGCCCTGCACCTAAACAGATGAGACAATAATAATTGTTCAGCGGCCTTGTGCACAGCCGAGCGGCCTGTCGATACTGCTGCAAATCCACAGTCTTTGTTTTTCCTATTGTCATACAACTGTAACAGATTTGTACGAAACAAGGGGGGGAAGTTTAACACTAATAATATAAAAATGCACAAGACACTGAAGTGAATTTGGCTGGAGGGATCGATGTCCAGGTGTGACTGATTAATAGCGACTTAATGACCTTTCTACATATTTTTGTACTGCCAAATGATCTTATCCTAACTGAAAAGCTGCAACCGTCAGAAGAACGTTCTGGAGAGGATACAGAGCGGCTGTTATGGATGCAACCGGATGCTCCCGGACATTTATTGGACAGTTATGAGGGCATAAAGGAATTTCTGGGCACGACTGGCACGTGGAGCTACACCAGGCTGCACTGCATTACGTCCTGTTAGCTTTACCCTCATTCAACTGCACGTCACACGTTAAAAAACAAAAAACAAACACACTGCCTATTGACTGCTTTGTTTTTTGCCATGTATGGTTCATCTCAGACAGGACATGCATATTATTATTATTATTTTTAACTGGTTTTTAATAAGTAACAGTCTATGCAAAGCTTGTCTCTTGAGCCCGCCTATTTTTTGCGTGTGTCTTTAAGGTGCCGGAACACGCTGGTCTGCATTCCGGAAGTTTCCCATAGCTGTCCCACTTACACTGTGGTGACAGGTGGGGCGCAGTCAGCGAGTGGCCGCTGGCCCCCGACGTCAACATAGACACTAACTTTTCCGTTTCTGCTCTTCTGCGGAACTCGCACCCCCGGGCAGGAGCTCACCGATCTGGCGAGTCGAGCCGCTCAGCCTGGTCTGTGGTTTCCCTGCACCCTGCGACCTAAGTGCATCTCTCCCTTGAGTCCCCCCCCCTCCCCCCACACATACACACACACAAATGCAGGACCGTGTCAGTAATGCTGTGGCGTCGTGTTTTCTACAAATCCTGCGAAAGCGTCAGCTGGGAGAAGAACTCCTCTGAGGCAGCCCTACCAGAAATAATTTCCCTTCCCTAAGCTGCCTTCACTGAAACTGGCATATTAATGACTGGTGGCTGTGTGAGAGAACGCAGTAAAGAGTATATTTCATAAGCTCACCACTTGTGTATTCATCTCCCCTTTATTGAATTATGAAATATATTAGTCATTTAACAATCAACAAACATCTCGGTTTCAAGGCTTGGAGAGTAACTTTGCTGTCACTGGTACCACAGACCAGTCTCACATGATTAAATAATTAGGCCTTAATGCCTGTCTTGTGCATTGCAACGTATCAACAATTAATAGTGTGATAAACAGGGGGAAAGCTGGGAGTGAAAGGGACAGAAATCTGTCTGTGGACAGGGCAGGGGGCCTGCTTATGTGGGGGAGGGGCATGCCCAACCTGGTGGGGGCCATATGATAATGAAATTCTGGGGTTACAAATATTGCTGGCAACAAAAATAGGGGAGGGGGTGTGAGTGTCCATCATTTTTCCCCCTTGGATTGCTCTCTGCATATTTAATGTCAGAAGGCTGATAAGATGTCGGATTATACGACGGGATGTGCAGTGAGGTTTTATATGATGGAGGGTACAGTGAGGTCTTATACGACGGGACGAGCAGTGAGGTTAATATGGAGCGTACAGTGAGGTCTTATACGACGGGACGTGCGGTGAGGTTTTATACGACAGGATGTGCAGTGAGGTTTTATACAATGGGACATGCAGTGAGGTTTTATATGATGGAGCGTGCAGTGAGGTCTTATACGAATTGATGTGCGGTGAGGTTTTATGTGATAGGACATGCAGTGAGGTTTTATGGAACGGAATGAAGTGAGTTTTGTACAACAAAATGTGCAGTGTGGTTTTAAGGGCCACATGGTGGGAAGGCCACGTCCCCTGACTGACTACGCTCCTGACCAGTGACCAACAACTGTCCCCTCTGGGTTTTTGATGTTGGGGCATTTCTGGTGTTTGGGTCAGCAACACGGCTATCCAGTGGCCTAATCCCTCCAAATCCCAGGAGCAAAAGTGCGGCCTACGATATTTCTCGGGACATGGGTACCGCTCCAGAAGCCCTTCCTGTGAACGCAGGGAGAATCACGTCGGGCCCTGTCCCAGAGCGGGCTCGCATGGTGCTGCCTGCGTCGCCGGATAACACCGCTCTCCTCGCATTGTGTGGTTAGGAGTCGGGGATCAGGGGAACAGCTCCGCACGCAGTAGAGGAACAAAGGGAGATGTAGTTGCTGTAAATCGTGTCATTGGAGCACGTGGGCGGGTATTACAAAACCAGAGATGTGGGATCCTTCGGGAAGGCTGCGATTCTCTATTTGTCGCCGTCGGCCGCGAACAAAGGCGGCAGAAAGCCTACACGGATCGCGTTATCGGCGAGCGCGGAGTGTGGCGAACAATGCAGCTCCGATCGGAAAACGGCAGACTGCGTTGTCTGAGAGGGCTGCCTCGAACGATCGCACGCCATGTCCTAATCGCATTTCCTCACCGTTTTTACCGGGATGAATGCTTCATGGAACGACGTGCTGGCTCGCCGCGGCAAAGCGGACTTGATGTTCATTCAGCAGTTTAGATTCCACAAAAAACAAAAAATGACAACAAAAATAAATTGATGATTAGGAGGATGGCATTCAAAGGCTAATGACCAGCAAACAGAAACCGTGAAACCTGCCAGAATGACCAAAGTTACCCAAAAGAAACAAACTTTGACCATAAGTACACAGTTAGTTTGTCTGCTTAGGACCTTTGCAATGACAGCTGCAAAGTTACTTTCATTGTGATTTTTCTTCTACCTGAATTATAATTTCCACCCACTTCAGTAGATATTTTCCTAGGTTTCTACAGCGCTTATTAATTCCCTTCTATGAATGAAACATACAGACCAGTACATTGGTGTCCCATCCACTGCACAAACATCACTGTTCTGGCAGCTTCTATGGCATCCGCATGTATGTCAGTGTTTTTTTCCTCCTTTTAAAACGAACCCTGAAATCAAAAGCATAAATTAGCTTCAGTAAAACTGCCTGGTATGGGGATCTCTATGAATATGTATATGCTGAGGTATGTGTGCCGTTCTCTTTTGACCACGAGCCTGGGAATGTACCGGCAGGTCCTTCTAAAGATAAACGTCTCCTTGAAACCCGTCGTGGCTTGCCGTCAGAGCTGAATAATCGCCACGCTCTTTTTCTTCATTAGGAATCCTAACTTCATTCCGTCGGCTGAGGAGTCGCATATTAAAAGAAAGACAGACAAGCCTCTAATTTACTGGCGACGGGCAAACGAGTGCTGATTGGCTGGCAGCCCGACAGGTATTTGCAACCGTCCTGCTGCAGGTATAATTTCACCCCATTTGCTGAGCTGTTGTTTGACTACAGTGTTAATTACTGAGGCGGTGAAGGAGGGGAGTGATTATGCGATCTTTAAATGAAAGCCAAGTGAACCAGCTAGACCCACAGCTGACAGTGGCGGAAGAACACTCCTGTCCCGTATGGCGCACTGCCGTTTTCGGTATTTTACCTGGCAGACGCCAACGTTAGGAATGATTTTCGGCATTCAGGGTTTTCACCTTGAATAATCGAAATGCCCTTTGTGAAGCGGTATGTCTACCTGAGCAAGAGTAAGTGGCAAATGCACAAAATGTACGTGAAGACAAAATTCTTCAAATCTGTAAAACATCCCTCGCAACAGTGTGCATAACAATGGCAAGCAAATCGCTGTGGAGACAGTGGAGTGGAGCAATGAAACGTCTACAAGAGTCAAGAATAACCAAAGCTAGTCTGGTTTCTGCATAAATGTTTGCATTACAGTCTATCTAGCCACAGTTACGCTTGTTTGTGTGAGTGGTGGCGTGTGTGTGTGTGTGACTGCACTGGATGGAAACTGCATAGTTCTCAAAGTGAAAGCACAAACAAGCTTTATTGTAATGTTTGTTATGTGGTTGACTGAAGGGGGAAACTCTGCATTTGTTCGGAATGGCTCATTTTTTTGAGAGATTCTCGGACAGCAGAGCAGTAAGTTGTCCATAGACCAACCTCATAAAAGTCATCAAGAAAGACCAAACAAACAAAACAAAACCTGTAATTTGTATCACCATAAACACACTGCAGAACTTCTTTATCTGACACCTTTGTTACCCCATGTGGCTTCGAGTTTGTTAAACCTCAAAGATAACAGCGGCAGCATCTTCCATTCGTCTTCCATGTGGTCTCAACTGGGATCGACTGGACATATTTGGGGCTAACAGAATGTGTCAACAAAGGCCGACTTCCCCTCACTGTCGGAAATAGGTGGCGATGTGGCACTCCGGTTTGGGTCAAGTAATGATGGGCTCGTATGGTGCTCGTGCAAAAACGTGGCTGGCGCTGAAGAAAAGGATCGGCCTGGAGCATCACCAGAAAAACGGATTAGCCGTCAAAGCACCCGATCGCTAAACGGTGCGTATCAAAACCGCCCCAGTTACGAGATCTCACATAAACACATATTGTTATTCAAAACAACTTATTATCCCCCTGAGTTTTTCTAAACGGAATAAAACTTGGGCAGAATTCTGATAAAAGCCCCGTTCCATAAATATGCAGTTTTGAGAAACAACTGCTTCGCGTTATGACACAAAGAGTATGCAGATTATACTTTGATTTCAGTACAATATGCTGATTTCCAGCTACGTTGCTCTTTTTTATTCAAAGCCACACATGCCCACGTAAAGAAAGCAGTGGTTATTTCAGGTAATCTATCCTTTTGGCGGCCCTGATGGTACCTCCCAGTCAGGAGACGAGGCGACATCATGCAAATCAGCGGCACTGACACGTTCGGCGCTAACGTGACATGTAAATGCGCACCTGTGAAGATAAGGGTTCACGATGCACCAGGGCAAACCCCAGCCCCGGTCGGCAAAATGACAACCACATGTCTCAGTGATACCTTTGATCTGGAAATGATGTTCTGGTGAAGGATCTGCAACATTAGGCAAAACTCAGTCATGGTAAGAATGGAACAATGAATGAGACAGAATGGAACCACCCCATCGTAACTTTTTAAGTTAGCTGACATGCTCTTTGGCCTGAAAGCTTCTAGGGAACAGAATGATAACCCCCCCCCCCCCTCAAAAAAAAGAAAAAAAAGAATAATCACTTGATTATTATCACATTGGGATCTAATTTCTGGGGGGGGAAAAAATCCCATCTCACCTCATGAACAAACATGACATATTTGTGGCCAAAGGTATGCAAACTATTCAAACTGTCACTTTGGCTGAGGCTGTTTGCCCCAGGATTCACTCACAACTGAAATGGATTTTTAGCTGCTGAATTTTTTATATGAAAATCTATATAACGCCACCATTGTTAATTGATTATATCCCACGCTGCAATATTGGGTCAATAACAAAATGGAAATGTACACAATGAAAAGTTAAACCATATGGTTTCTGTGTTTGTGGTATGATATCACTTTTTAATGTTACTCCATTTACAAATTCAATTTTAAAAATAAATGATATAACTAAAGTAATCCTGAAATGAAATACGTTTTGATAATCAGTTCCTGACAATGTATAATAAATAAATAAATACTCTTTTTTTAGGTATACCGGCATAATTTGTTTTTGTATATGGCATTAATATTTTTCCATGCTAACATTCTTGAACATTGTTTTGTCAACTTTTTAAATCGGTCATCGCGTTGCCTACTTTAAAGCGAAGCGTTTTCGTTGACAGGCTGAGCTTTTTCAGTGCGCCGTGAGGCAGATTTAAGGTTAATTTGCTCAATTATCTCATTGATCGAGTGTAACAAATCTCTTAAAATAGTGCAATCAAAACGTAAATGCCGCAGGATATTAAATGAGACAAGCGGGTAGATCAGCAAATTTACACACAATTCTGATTAAAATATACAATATAGCCTACACATTTGTTAAGAGAGCGGTTTTAGGGTTTCCAAGAAATAACAACAAAAATAACGTAAAGATTATGCAATGTTATTTGTATTGTACGACTGATTACCGCCATCGCCACAATGGATAATTGTTTCAAATTGTTTCGGAGGCAATTATCATAACGACTCAAAATGCAGTCTTCGTAAGGCATTAGGAAACGGCATAAAGTTTCCTGTCCTTCGCCCTCTTCTAATCGCCAATTGGGATTCCTGTAACCGGGAGACCCAGGTTCACATTCAACAGCGAAAACAAATTCATAGCGACTTCTCAGGTGTCCATGGGATTAACATCATCATCATCATCATCATCATCATCATCGGTGCCAACTTATTCCTCGTAATTCATGTTTTAACTCAGGACAAGAATTACACCTTATTTGGAGGCCTACATTTTTAGCTCATTAAAGTGCAAATCAGATGTCGGGGAGGTGATTTCTGAGTAGGACTGCATGCAGTATTCCAGACATCGGGAAAATATGCTAATATACGTGACCGTAAAATGCTTATTTTTTTGTATCGTGAAAAAAAACATGTCTGTATGCAATTTCTGCCTCAGCACTACACACAAACAAACTAACATTATTTTTAATAGGCTGTGAACTCTCCGCAGTAAAATGTTTAAAAGCACGCCAGTACAAACTTGCGGTTATCTGAAAAGTTGCTAAGCAGGTATTCGTGCCGTTTTCCCCCCACATACGAATCACCGTGAACATCAGGCTTTGCCAAGAATGTGCATGCTGTAAAATTATATTTACATTTGAATTGCACATGAGTGCCACTGATGCAATTAAAGACTGCAGGTGCGTTCAAGAGCCGAGTTAAGAGAACTGGCTGAATGGGCATTGATACATATTCATCAAGACGCACTTAACTCCAAGTTGAGAGGAACAAAACATCCACATCGCAAAATCACGCGTATCTTGTATCTCTAACTTAATAGTCCAAATATTGCGACGCTGAATGCAAGGCTTGTACAAATACCTAGAAGCGGTGCAGTTATTTACGTTATTTTCACAAACGCGGCGCCACTAAACATCTTTCAGAAAAATCCCTACAGTGATCGCGATTCTGCAATCTAAAGTGCATAAACGATGAAGTGTATAAACCGCAAACAGCAGGTAAACCAAGCGACACGAGCGAGCGTGTTATTGAATGCTGGTCCCTAATGCCTTCCAGGTAGCGAAGTTTTAGTCCCCTCCGGAGTGCAATGTAACTTTCAGACAGACGAGCAAATCACAAGTTTATATAGGCTACCTAAATGTATAGTGAAAGTGAAAAGGGGACTGGAGACGCAGCGCGACGGCTGTGTGACATGGCGATCTTGTGACAGAGCACGTGTTCTGTTGACCTTGTCAAAACTGTATCGGAAGCACGGCGGAGCAGGGAAGATGGAAAACGTGAGAACACCGTACCTTAGAGAAAGTTAGCAGAAGTCGCCAGGCAAGTCGATTTCCATCAAGAGCGGAAAAGAGTCGGAGTGCGTATCACTGGTCCAGTACAGGGGGAGAAGTCTTGGATTAAAGGCTCTCTCTCTTACACTTACACACACAAATAAAGACGCACTGCACGCTGTATAATGAGGGGGGACTGAGTCGAAGTGATGAGGCGGCGCGGTGCGACGCGCAGAGAAGAGCGGGAAGCGCGTTTAGGGCAAAGCCGGAGTGAGACACAGCGCTGCCCCTCCCAGTCTCTGATGCCCACATCGATGATTTGCCAGCTGTGGCGGCGGCCCGTCTCAAGCCCGAACCCCGGAGTGTCAGCCTCCTGGTACCCGAACAGCATTTTTAAAATGTCACTACAAGCTTCAGCCGTATCTGTTCTCACAAACTACATGTTTACAAGCTCCGGAGAGGGGGGCTGATGCAGTGCGCTGATGCTGCTCTCCACAGAATGCCTCATTAGAATGACACAAACGAAATTATGGGGGTATCTATGTGAGAATTTATAAATACTAACTCGAATTATAAACCAAGCATCAAAGAGAAGCCTATAAACGTGTGTGCCTTTATATTGCACTGCGCTGAGCCGTATTTACCACAAAAAAATCATTTTACTTTACCATGGATGAACGGCCTCCAAGACATCCTATCAAGAGAGACAAAGGGCATAGTTTTAGGTTGGCAGATTATGTAGATACATTTTCTCCCGTTTCCAATATGGCACTGGCGTAAAGGCCAAATCGAAACTGAAACAGGAAATAAAATACACGGTTCCCACAAGGATCTCGCTGTGTATGCATTGTGTAGTACAATGGTATAAATGCATAGTTTATATAATGCATTCTGCATGAGGGTTTTATTCTAGGCTGTCATTTTCATATGGTAAAAGTGGGTTAGCAGATCCGATTGACACAGAGCAATGAGTCTAGAATGGTTTTAATAGTGTTTGTTATGCTAATATATGTATGTATTTGTATGTGAACGATATATGGGCTATATCTGTCTCACTTGATATAAATGACCAGTCATCTGCATAACTTAAGTAGATATAAACGGGTTAAAATTAACCCTGCATGTGTGAAATAGGTGGGAACAAACTGACGCGCGGCGCGCTTTGAATTATAATACAAGCTATTAATATTATCAAAAAAAAAAAAAAAAAACAACAACAATGTAAATGGAATATGTAGACACGTTTTAAGGAAATGGAACTTGGTTGTAACATTATATAATTATTTACGGAAATAGTGCATTGCTGAATGCTTTTAAACTAATTGTGTTGAAGATAGATATTTGTTCACGTATAGTAATCTAATTTTTGATAGTGTGAAAATCTAAGCGCAAGATCAAAATAGTGTTCACACTCATTTATTACACATCTGAGGTTGAAATAATATACAATATATATCTTAACGCAGCAATTAAAGGGTGCCGTCTTACGTGCAACAAATTACAGTCATTTGTAAGTTTATTTTTAAATACTTTATGAATCATAGTAGATTTCGAAGAATAAACAACAGACAGCAATGCATTTTCTTCCGTCTCATAATATGCAAGGCTTTTTTTTTTTACCGTAAAGATAAAAAATAAGGACGAAGTCGCTGGCATCTCCAGCGACGTCGCGCATCAAAACTCACATCCCTAAAAACCAGCCTTCCGTCCAGCAACTTGACGGATTGACCGGTATGTTTCCGTGTGGAGATCAGACGCGCAGGAAGCCCTATAGGATTAAGCGGTCACGGCAGGAATCGCCATAACGAGTATAACAACTCTATATATTTATAATAACTGCTGAATACTAAAGAATAATATAAATACGCTGCCAATTAAAAGAAGAGGCACCTAACGGAATCGTACAACTGGCACGTTTTAGTGCAAGAATAAGACAATGAAGCACAAATCTGACCACTAAATCTCCAATATCTGACGTGATAACTGGTTCACCCTTACCCAACACCTTTACCCAGGTAGGTATAGTGTCACTTCGGAGCGCGAGAAGGACGAACCCAAATGCAGGCTGGGTGCAAGCGGACACCCCTCACAGGGGTATTTACTGGGGAAAGATAGGCAGGGGAAAACCCACGCGGACAGAGAACAACAACCGAACAGGGAGCACAAGCCTAGGAGACACTTCTATACATGGTTAACAGACTAGTGTACACGAGGCAGCTGTGGCTGGGTAACAAGAGGGCAGGAACAAGAGGTGAGACTAGCGAGCTTCAGGCGTGGCTGATTAGGAGCCACGACCAAGGGAAACGCTGGGCACAGACAAGCAGGGCGGGGCAGGTCGTGACATATAGACACAGTATAGCTCTATTATAGCACGTCTAACGCGAACACAACTTTTAGTGCAGAACATAATCCAAAGAAATGTGTCACATTATATGTAATTACATAATCACAAAACGCACGATGGGTCTAACAGGCAGTTGAAGTGTAATTGATAACTTTTTGTGTTACAAAGGACGCAGCACCGGGCTGGGAAATAAAGGCTGTCAGAACAGAGCTTTGAAGATGATGTGTTCAGCTGCAGAACGCAGTCGCAGCTTCCCTGCTGTTGCAGCGCGGTTAAAACTTAAGGTGTTTTCCATCGCCTCTACAAAGGAGCATTTTCTGTCTTCTCATCATCAGACACCAGTTTCCCCGAAAAAAAAGTTCAAATTAACTGACGAAATCTGCACGGTTTCATTTTTGGTCATATGATTAATTTTTCTGAATGGTGGACTGCAGGTATGATGAACTTCCGTGTGAATGGGGTTAAATATCCTGTTCTCTGTTACGTCCAACTGCTGGTAAACCAAGCATGCTCTTATGGTACACGCACAGGGGAGCGCATAGTGCACTGAGATGGGCCAGAGAGGGCTGATCTGACTGAATGGATTTGCTGGGATTTTGTGATTTGAAACACGGAGATATCTAGGGGCTGCGCCAGGAGATAATGCAGGTAGGAGGACAGAGGATCAGAAAACGTTCGCACTCCCCTTATTCCTCTTTATGCTTAGGAGACATGTTTACTGAGAGCTATTCCTGGAACAAGTGGGTGAATATCTGAAGTATGAACCCATGGGAAAGGGTTTATCTTGACTTCCAACATACATCCTAAGAACATGGTGGTTCTTATTAAGCCGACAGGCTGATAAATACTCAGGGCATTTGACTGTGTGCTTTCTTCCAGATGAATTTTCTGTCTAATTCTTTAAATGAGTTTGATCTTAGGTGTCACTGTCATTTCTCCTTTTCCCAAAGGTGCTGACTACAGCTTCTTGTACTTCTGTCTGAAGATAGTATTGTTGTGATATTCAGTTATGGACATGGAGGACAGTGATCAGAGTGTCATTTTTATGTGCACCTAAATCTACAGAAGAAGCAGCATAATCTACGTGTTTCCCATGATTCTCTGGGCTTGGTTGAGCAGAACCTCAAACTGATGTTGACTTTGACTTTAGACTATCTTCAGTCCCCATTTAGATTCAAATTCATATTTGAAACACCTGTAATAAAGCACAAAAGCAATAGAAAAAGCAATATAATTACTTCCCAAATTGATAATAACTGCACTATTTGACAGGAAGAGAACTATAAATATGTTAATTGTTACAATCCAAGTATGTCTGGATTCAAAAACAGCATGACAAAAGATGCAAGAATGTAACAGAAAGTCTTTTTGTCTCTCTGCAAATTTTCAGTCCAAGTTATTTTTTATTATATTTCGCATGTGTAGTGTGAAGGTCTCTTCTCTTGTTTTGGTGATTTAATAACAACCTCACAAATCAGGTTGAATATACAATTATTTAAGTGTGTGCAACCTACTGACTGAGATATTCTGCATCAAGGTATTTGATATGCTGAGTCCTGAAAAGTAGTTTACAGAAGGTTATTAAGCTACATTTTGGAACAAAATGAAATTACAGAGGTCATTCCCTGTACAATTAATGTTTACAACCAGTAATTACTTCACAGAATCTACATCTGCATCAAAGTCACAATTTTCTTCACAGTACAATTTTAATTATATATATATATACTTTTTAATATAAAAATCACTTGAGAAGCACAGCAAACTAAAGAAAATTAGGTTATCTTAGGAACATTAGATTATTATAATAACTTTTTTTCCTCTTCTTTGAATAGTGGTAATTAAATATGATTGTGGCGTTCCATGGTAGGTAAAGGCTGACAGTTCTGAGTACAGTTTGGGATCTGTTCCATTACTCGGTTCTGACTGGGAGCTCAACAGTTGTGCAGGATGATGCTGGTTTGGAACGAGGCTGTAATCTGGACAGCTCCACTTAGGTGGAAACCATGACTTCTACAGGTCAGATCCCAGTACACAGCACCAAGAGGTGGACTGCTGATGAACCCAGCTGGTTTGCAGGGAGTGTAACCCCCCCAAAGGGTTTATGGCTCAGGGCATGGGTGTCGGTTCGATACTTATGGGGGTGCAGCTAGCTCTAATCTGAAATCTGAGGAATCCAGTCAAAAAATTCCTAACCTTTATTTAAATGGAGATTTTAACAAAGGATATGCTTCCTCTTTGTTGGGAGGGTGACCAGATGGACGAATGGACACACATGCAGGAATGGGAGGAATGCCATGGTCTATCCCAGGCAGATTATATGACTCATATGATCCAGAACGCAAGTGTCAAACACGCCAACAGGACAATACCATTTTGGGCTGATGTGCTTTAGCTGTTCATACTAAGGGCCTAGAAGGGCGTTTCGTTCACAGCGTGTCGTGCCTCAGTGGGCGGAGCCCTTCTTTCACTGTTGTTTCCTTGAAAGCCAATTGCAGAAGTTCTAAAACTGCCCTACCATTGGCTGAATAAGTTTTAGGATTCAGGTTGTTACAAGATGTGACCGGTGATGATGGTTACAATGCAATTATCTAGTCTAACATCTTGTACCACACTGTACTAATTATTACAATTCTTTAAATAATATGTAATATATTGAAATAACATATAAATACTTTGCTGGCTTTCGAAATGCAGGAGACCACAAGGGTTGTTTTTTGACTTGCTGAATTTCTCATTGCATCATTTCTCCTTTCAGTTTTCTGCACCTTCCTGACTAGTATCATAGAAGCACCGGCATGTTTTCAGAAGCGCACCTCAGCAGGCCTGATGTGGAGGGCGTGTTACGTAACACGGCATGATCACACGGTGCGCCCAGCGACCAGCGGCAGCCCTGTGGCTCAGTGGTCGGTGCTGTGGGTTCAAACTATGTCCTTCCTGAAAGTTCCCAGGTCCCCACCTGTGTGTGGGTTTCCTCCCACAATCCGGAAGTGCGCTGTTCTGTTGAGTCTATGGCTCTAAATCACCCCTGGTGTCGGTGCTGTCTGCCTTCATACCTAACTAGGAGATTTGCTTAATAAATAAATGGACTGAGCACTGACTTGACTGAACATCAAGTCCTCTTCATGCTGTGACTCTTCCTTGTTCTTCTGCATTCAAAGCCATCTACAACTTCTCCATATGGTGCCAATCCTGCTCCTTGTATTCCCTGGCTTGTCTTCCTAGACCCGGCACACATTCGCCTGCTTCCTGGTAGTGACCTTGCATAATGACAGCAGGTATTCGTGCTGGAGAAAATAACCCTTGTTAATAACATTCACCCAGACCTGCAGCGTCTTGGTAATCGGCACCACACAACCTCAGCAGCTCCTAACATGGTGGATTCCAGTCAGAATCAGAACATCCCTAAGCCTGACAAGCTAGATAAGGTTTTTAGGTACTGGGCATAACAGAATCATCATAGCTCGCTCACCTTCAGTATGCTACAGTAGAACCCCGGCATCAACACTTTTTAGAGATTCACTGTTGAACACCAAATGACCTTCTTAACGTGCCGGCGGGACTCAGAAATACTCCCCCTTTCCCCTCGAAACCACCTTGTTCAACAAACGTGACCTTCAGTGACCTCTTCTCAAGAGCTGACTCTTCTCTGATTCCACTTCACACGGTTCCTGCTCTTCATTCCAAACCGCCCCAGCACGTCCTCGTCACGAGTACCCAGCACTCTCGGGTGAAGACCGGGGTCATGTTCCCCTGGGACACAGCAGTTAGAAATGATCAGTAGTGGCATTAAAATGAACAGCTTCACAGTCCTTCGTTCCCTAAGTGCCCAATAAAGGTAAACCGGTTTAAGGCTGGTGGGCAGTCTTTTGATTGCTAACTGAACGTGTCGTGGTATATTAGGCACTTGAGCGCACTCAAGTTAAAGGACTGTTAATCCACATTAATCATCAACTGTGTGATGTTCCAATGTGTCAGGAGAGATTAGGGGAACACCCCGAAGAGCTGATTCCAGAGGACGGAAATGAAATGGCTTGATTGATTATTCTTGAAAGCAAGCGTGTCAGTGACATTAATGCTGTAACAATCAGAAGGGCCGCGCGTACTGTAAAGCATATTGTTTTTCGCTTGGTCGCCATTGTCTTCTAATGCACAGCACACCGTTAGGGAGAAGACAGACACAGTCATTTTCGAAATTCACCGGCAATTCACTGTTTGAAGCCGATATGACCAATGGTGGTGGATAATTACCTCCAACTTCCAATTACCCAGTACAGGACAGATACACTGAAGTAGCTATTATGGAGGATGGCATCTTGCTGCGGAATTAACCATCACAATGGCCTAATGGAAGACAGCGCTTAGCTGGTCGGAGCCACAGCTGTCAGGGGCACGACAAAAGTTAGTTGCCCTCCGTTACTGATGCGCATCTCAGCAAATCACCGCACCCCCTGCGAGTCGTCATCTCAGGGAGAGCGTCATATTATCCCCCCCCCCTCCCCCACCACCACCTTAATTGGACAAATTCGATTAAGCGACTCCAAATTCTTCTCACTGGATCTCCGCTAGAGGAGCGCCCCTAGATGGCTTGCGTCATGCCTGGGTAGTTGTCATTAACAGTAACCGCTAAAGAGAGACGTGCCATTGCTAGCATGAGACGTTTGATGTGTTAATAATATGTGTATTTATGAATTAAATGGATGTGACATATTAAAACCCACCACAAACTCATTAGCCATTAATCTGCAGGTTTTTTTTTCCCCCTCATTTAAAAGCGAATCAGAAGCCCTGCTATAATCCCCACAGCACAAGGGGATCTTAATTACTGTGAAATATGAATTTTTAAGTGTGAAAAAATGAGTAATTATTAGGAAATCCCCTTGGATTTGGTTTGCGAAGAGTAGCAGAGTTGGATAAAGTTGCATGGAAATGAAACGCTTTCATGCTCTCTAACCATGTAATATCCGTAATTATTAGCGCTGATTTCATTGATGAGGAATGAAAGGTTTAGTAGACGTTTTAAATGAGAATGTAAAGGTCCAGCAGAAGTACGACTGAAGCCGGAAGGGAACACACTGTGCTGCTAATCCTGAAAGCCACACTGCCGCTTTGAGCTTTCGGCAAGAACGTATTGTTCGATCATGATCCCAGCCAGAAACTCAAAGCCCTGGGATGCATTATGCACATTGTACATTTGTTTCACCAATGAAGCCCGCTAACAAGGCACAGTCCCCTTGACTGAATTATAGATGGGTGCTTACAAAGTAAATTTAGTCCCCATTAGATATTTTTCAGAATGGGTTTGGCGTGGTCATTTTTTAAGCCGACCCTTATGCAACCAATTGAATGCAGTCAAACCAGGTCATTCTAAGAACATCCAGACCACCAGGTAAGCACAGTGGTCTACGTCCATCGCATGGCCCAGGCACGCACACACAATGGGCTACTTAGAGACGCCAATTAGCCTAACCGCATGCCTTTGGACTGCAGGGGGAAACTGGAGATCCCAGAGGGATCCTGTGTGACACGGAGAGCACATGCAAATGTCACACACACACAGAGCAGAAGCGAAATTCAAACCCCCAAACCTGGAGGTGTGAGGCGACAGTGATACCTACTGAGCTACCATGGACTGCTTTCCAATAAAATCTAAAAATAATACCATTATCTGCCAGACACTTTTACCCAAAATGGTTATATTCCCTACTATGTACTTGTTTATATAGCTGAATCTTTCTACTGGAACTTCAGGTTAGGTATTTTACCGGAGCCCAGTTGCTCTACCACTCCCTCAACCTGCTGGCTTCTTTTTACTGCCAGCAACCTGGTACCATCTGTTAGGTTCAAGGAGAAGTTTAAACTTTGCAAAAGTGTGAATGTGGCATGTATATGTTTAGGTGGGAGGAAAGAACAGCCATTAATAAATAATGACAGTTGCTCTTGTGACGTGGCTGGGAAGCCGGTGTGCACCCCCAGCACCGTACGAGCGCACAGCAACAACAGGTATCTCGCAGTCGGCCCGGAAACTACACGTGTGGACGGCTAACAACACTTGGCTGGCAGCTGCTAATTGCCCCGACCAGGAAGGTGGGAAGGTCAGGGAGAGAGTTGAGAATGATGAAGCGGCGTTTACTCTCTCTCTCTCCTTACTGGACAGAAGAAAGGATGAGGGAGGGCGAAACATGACCTAAAAACAAGCAAACCAACCAACAAACAAATAAATGTTCGGTATAAATAAATAAATAAATGATAATAAATAAATAAATCCTTGGCATAGATGAACAAATTAATTGATGGAACAAAAAATTCAATTTATTTATTTGTGCCAAAAATGTATTAATTCGTTCACTCGTTTATTTTCAAACATTTATTTTTTCATTTCTTCCTCCTGCATGCTGAGGTGGGAAGCTCTAAATGTTCTCTAAAAATCTTTTGGTCAAGAAAGTACCGTAAGGCTGCTCAGACAGATCTCGTACAGCCAAGTACAGAATATGTATTTCTAACGTACACATTTTACCGTTATACAAATCAGTTTCAACACGGCAAGCATAAGACATTCAACATATTCTATGGATGTAGCCGAATGACTCGATAATCATTCGTAATGTTTATTTTGTTTATTAATTTATGTGTTCGTTTAAGCCACAGAATGGCTAATGGTCTTTACTGTCACTATAGTACTGAGGTCTGAAATTGCTCAGTCAAGCTCATCTCCAGGCTAGAGCACAGTAGCAGGCTAGGTTCAGCACCCCCCTTGTCACAAATTCACCACCCTACTGTACTGCAATAAGAAAATAAATGATACAGCAAAGCTGTTTCACACATGCCTTTATAATAAGTATTCTAAATGCATTCTGAATACGTTTGTACTGTAACAGAATGCATTTCCTGAAGATGTTTAGCGCAGTGTATTCAGTATTCAGCCTTCGATACTTTTCCAAAGTACAGTATTTTATCCAAGCCTACTACTGACACACTACTGAATTGCATCCGTTTTTGGCACCAGCTTTTCCTCCACCATGCCAATAGCTCACAATGAATTGTTTTACAAATACGTAATGCGTGAAAGTGACCCTGTAATAAAGTCATGTGATAAAATTTGGCCAATCAGCACAGCCATCTAAGAAGTTAATTTTTTTATAACCAGTACAGCCATACTCAATTACGTGAACATGAACCACATTACGAAGGTGCTAGGAGAGTCAACATATAACAATACATTGATACAGTAAATTGCCGGAAGTCATTCTGTTACTATGTGAATATAGCACAAATTGAAATAATTACTGGCCATCAAAGTTTTATGTTAGGTTTGGAAACATTAGGAAGAGGACATAAAAGGTCACGATCTCTACAATTCACATAAAAATAGGTGGTGGATGTTTCCAAGATCAGTCACGGGATAGAACCATCAGATCACCCACCCCTAGCTGTCACAATGTCAAATCTAATACACTAATGGTGCGTTCCATTATTTCTCTCCAAGTCGGAACTCGGATGAAAAGTCACGAAACGTCACGAAAAACGTCGGAAACATGCCTCTTTTATGACACTGAAGTCGGACAAGTTTTGTTGTCCGAGTTGCCCCTGTGACGTAATTTCAACATGGCGACTTGGTTTGTTTGTAGTTTGTTTGCCGTTCGAAAAAAGAATATCGCTATGAATGTACTAAAATATTTTATAAAGCTTTTAATGTGGTTTGACAAGTTCGTGTTTCTTGTTTGTCTCTCGGAAAAATCTCCATTTCTCCATTTGGAAAGCTCCAAATCTGCTACAATATAAAGCAACAACACACAGCATGTTCATGGAGGCAGCCATGTTTGTTCCGAGATGTGGGTAGCTTGAACGGGAGATTGTCGGACGTGATGTCACTCAACTCGGAATTTCCGAGTTCCAAGAGAAAAACGAACGCACCATAAAAGCTTAGCACAGCATTCTCTATAACGATCAACCAATGGCGTGTAAGTACAGCCCACCTCATTAGCATACAAGAGGAAGAAATAAATGTTCGGTAGAGATAAAAAAGTTAATAAGTAAGTAAATATTGGAAGGAAATAAATAATCAATCAATCATTCAATCTTTGGCATAAGTGACTAAAAAAATAGTATTTATTCTTTTATTCAATCGATCAATCAATCAATCTGTCAGTCCATGCCAAGGATTTATGTATTTATACTGAACATTATTTATTTGTTTTTAAGTCACATTTCGTCCTCCATAAAGGACAACCACCCTGAGGGGAAGGTCTCCTCTCGAACCCCATGCCCGAAAGCTTGTAGTCACCCGCTCAATGGAGGATCAGCCACCCCCCGATTCAGCTCCCACTTTGTTATCTCATTTCCCTCCCCCCAAATAAACTCCGCCCCTCGAGGCGTCCCTGCCACCCTGCCAGCCACAGCATAATAAGACTGAGAAATCAAACCCGACCACATTTTCATTATCCACCTATAGCTATGTAAAGTAACCAGAAACAACAGCACAGGACTAAGGATGTAACATAACCAGGGAGACGCGTCCTGTTGCCTAGGCACACCTGTGTTACGAAAAGGTGTGCATGTGAAAATCGCTTCTGTCGATCCACTGTGACAAAAGCTTATTTTTATTCCACTGATCTAAAAGGTTTTGGCTGGAAGGTTATGAAGTACTTCCACAGTTGTGAAATATCAAATATTAATATTAGACTGATAGAAAAAGTAATCTAGGAAATACAATACCATATAAATTTTCTTCCAGCGTGGTACAAAAGTCAGAGATATGTGTGTTAGACACACCTTTGGGAACATTTCCTGTAACGACGTGGTTGATATGTCTTAGACCACCCCCGTAATATTCAACCAAGTCACTCCGCCTCTCTAATCTTACCCTTTAAGATTCAAGATTCAAGCACTTTATTGTCAGTGTGGAACGCAACAAAATTACGTTTATGACAACCCCAAAGGTGCATTAATAAATACTGCAATGCAAAATAGCAGCTACGAATAATACAATTGTACAAATATGTTTAAATGGCCTTTCCATAGACAATGCTGTTCTAAAAAAAATCCCAGAACAGATTATTGATGCCCAGTGCACAGTGGCGATGGCTATTATTACACATATTAGCAAGATGCATATTGCACGGTTTACAGTCATGGGTGAAGAGTGCATAGAGGAGGGAACTTAGCACACAGTCCTGTGGCACACCAGTGCTCAGGGTGAGGGTGGATGATGTGTACTCGCCCAGTCTGACAGACTGAGGGCAGTTGGTGAGAAAGTGCAGTAACCAGTTGCATATGGAGGGGGTTGAACCCAATACATTGAGTTTGATGATCGCCATTTTACGATGGTGTTAAACGCTGAGCTATAATCAACAAAGAGCATCCTAATGTAGGCGTTGGTCTTTTGCAGGTGCGAGAGGGCAGCACATGCAAAGCCACACAGATGGTGTCCTCAGTCGATCTGTTTGTCCGGTAGGCAAACTGCTGTTGGTCTAGATTGGCTGAGACAGAGGCTTTAATGTGGGTGAGTACCAGCCGTTCAAAACATTTTGAGAAGACCTGGCTGAGAGTCGGTAGTCATTAAGACAGGTAATCATAGGTGTTTTTGGAAGAGGCACTATGGTCGAGGACTTCAGGCACGCAGGGGCTACAGATAAGGAAAGAGAGGCGTAGAATATGTGTGTAAATACCACTGCTCGTTGGTGAGCACAGGCCTGGAGCACGAGTCCTTGCACACTATCAGGACCTGCCTTCCTTATGTTGATGTGTTTGAGTGCCTCATGTGTGTGAAGGGCCAAAGGTTCCGAGTCACCTGTTAGTTTGAAGCTGAATGGAGGTTGGTTATTGTCCTTGTCGAACCTTGGAAAGGAGCTGTTAAGTTCCTCTGCTAGGTTGTCATTGTTATTCTCTAGCACATTCTTCTTTCTGTAATCCGTCATTGATCGGATGCCTTGCCACATCCGCTGTGAGTTTGAATTATGATCGAGGGCCTCCTAAATCCACTCTGTACTTTAGTTTTGTGGGTCCGATGCCTCTCTTACGATTAGCTCTGGCAGCTCCACAGGCAGAGGTATCTCCTGATTTAAATGCTGTGTCCCTCACCCTGAGCAGCTGTTTGACTTCGCTATTCGGCCACGGTTTCTCATTTGGGGACACGCTGATCCTTTTGTTGACAGTTACATTATCCACACAGTAATTAATACATGATAGTACAGATGAAGTATATGTATCTAAATCGGTCTGATGGAAAAATATATTCCGATGTGTTTGAAGCAGTCCTGGACCTAGGAGATGGCAGCTTCAGGCCAAAATGACAGGCCTGTAAGACGGTTTAGCACTGATAACAAGGGCTTTGTGTGCAGAGACAAGAATCAGAGTAAGATGATCAGACTGTCCAAGGTGGGGACGTGGTACGACCTTGTAAGCATCTATTATGTTTGTTTAAACATGATACAATGTGTTTCCCCTCTGGTTCACATGGTGGTCAAATCTGGGAAGTACATTTTTAAGATTTACTTCATTGAAATCCCCGGTAATGATGAAAACTCTGTCGGGGTGAGTGTTCTGTTGTTTACTGATATCGTCATATAGCTGCTCGAGCACTAGCTTATTATTAGCCTGTGGCGGTATGTATACTGCCATGACAATAACAACTGAATGTTCTCTGGGCAGGTGGGATGGTAGGCATCCAAGTCGGGAGAACATAACTTACTGACTGTGGATGGATCGGTGCACCAAGCATTATTAATGTTGATACTGAGTGCTCCTCCTTTTCTCTTACCGAAGTCGGTCGTTCCGTCGGCGTGGTGCAGCGTGTGTCCTGCTAGCTCAACTGCAGGATCCGGTATGCTGGGATTCAGCCACGTCTCTGAAAAAAATCAGAAGTCCTTCATAGTTTAATGTGTGGCAATATCCAGTTGGAGCTCATTCATTTTACTGTGATCTAGTGTTCGCGAGAATAGCACTAGGAAGAGGGACTTTACGCGGCGCGGATATTAGCCTAGCGAGCTAGCCCGCTCGTTTGCCCCTCTTCTGCTTCCTCTCCCTGCGCCGCCTGCGTCGTCTCCCTCCGGGGGTAGGAGTCACTGTAAGTCCTGGTGCTCTGAGAATCTCCTGCGGTATTGCTTCCGAGTTACAGCTCGAGTTGATCTGTAAAAGCTTCTGGCAACTATAGTAAATGTTGACATTTGTTTGTAGGGAACACCGATTGGAGGAGCATGGAGCCGCCACATCCGCGTGCGCCACCATCTTTCGAGCAGCGCCCTTCTAATAGCCCATCTGAACCTCTTCTATCTACTTCTCCTGCTCAGGGTCATGGGATGGCCTGGAGTCTTTCCCAAGCGGCATAGGGCACAAGACGCCAGGCCATCACACCCCTTTAATGAGTCTCTGCGTGAAATTCAACACGTCGTCGGTGTCCCTCATCCTAGCAACACCACCTTTCAAAATAAAAAATAAATCTGATAAAATCAATTCCAAGCTAACCACAGCATTCCAGTGTAACCTGGGAATGAGACTCGGGGAAACGGTATCAAATGCAACGAAGGGTTTCGCTCTCAGAAATGAAACGGGAGGGGTGGTTTGGGGGGGGGGGTGGATCGAATTAGTAAAGCCACTGTTGGGAACAACATTCCTGTGGTCTTTGTGAGACGCTCTCATTATAGCAGGTGCTGTTCGGACCGCCGGACTCGCATTAGGGTGAAATTCCAGCATGTTGAGAGGGAATATAAATACCAGCCTGGGATAGTCACAGGAAAGATACATAATTATTGCTCGCATGCTTGTCATTAGCTTGTAATGATTTGATTACTTTGCAGACGAATTGAGGTATAAATCTTTTTCAAAAACACTAAGGCTCTGTATTAATCAAAACCACTGAGCCAAAGTATCCGGAGCTGAGCAAAAAGAGGGGGAAAAAAGAACGTCTAAATTTAAAAAATGACAGTAATACATCATCAATATGTTTTTGCTTTTTTTTTACTCCCGAGACTCAGTGAATGCATTTGAATTTGTCAGAGTTTTATTTGCCCTCAGGAGAAATGAGAATCTGTTGTGAGGTATGCACTGAAAGGCGCTAACGGCAGCATGCGGTTAACTGGGACGCCGATTCTCCACGCATCGCCTCCTGGTCCTCATCGACTGCCTTCTGATGGACACCCTGTCACCTGTGACCTGGTCCCGGGTGTCCAGCCAGCATGAGACAGTCGGTCTGTGGGGGCCGTGGGTGTGCCTTTTTCGAACCCTGCTCCTGCCATAGAGAGCACCTCACAGGTGGATCCCATGGGGGGGGCGGGGGGCGGCGGTAACGGCTCTCTCCAAGCCTTGGAGTGCTTGTGCAGCACTGGAGTGCGCTTGTGGAAATAAAACATTTCTGTTTCCATGGCTATGTTGGCAGGGAGTCAGCATTTTTTGGCAGATATAGTTAAGTGGGCTTTGATGGCGAGGTACCGCGCAACATTTCACGTTATTGTACATCAATGCTGCTCTTCTTCTCGCTTGCCTCCTTACTCTTTGCGCTGGCATCACGTTTACTGTCACATTCACATCGTTCCTTTGCTGCCTGTAAGGATGGGCACGTGTGTATTTTTCCCCACTGTCTCCCGCTCCATTCTCGCGTCTATTAACTGCTCCTCGACGTCTGTACTTTCCTTCGTCTGCGGAGCACAGACCTGGAGATCCAAGAGGAAACAGACTGACCGTGTCTCTCCGGTAAATTCACTTCTGTAGCAACAAATAATGGCCCAGAAGAGGTGACAATAGCCCTACTAGGAGAAAATGCTTTTAAAACGTTTTAAAGCGTCCTCCAAATCGCTATTGCTATTGGCAACGCGTCTCTTTGGCCTACCTGTTGGCTGGCACTCTAAGCTCAGCTCTCCAGTAAACACCAGCGCTCTACAGTGGAGGCCATAATGAGGGAAAAAAAGTCAGGAGTCCTCTCTAAAGTCGATGCCACATCACAGTATCCGAAACATGTAAGGAGGTAAGCTGCAATCCAACAAGGATGAGGAAGGCCAATACCCACCCATACATCCATCCATCTTCTTTGGCCAATGCTCATCCATCCATCCATCTCCTCTGGCCAGTACTCATCCATCCATCCATCCATCTTCTCTGGCCAGTACTCATCCATCCATCCATCCATCCATCTTCTCTGGCCAATACTCATCCATCCATCTTCTCTGGCCAATACTGATCCATCCATCCATCTCTACCCACTTCACGTCCTATTCATGGTCGCTGGGGGCCTGGCAGGGAATAACCCAGGATGGGGCACCAACCCATTGCAGGGTATTCCCACACACCATTAAAGGCCATTACCCATGTCATCTTATTACATTATTACACACACAACATAATAGCTATGTAAGTACCCATTTCCCTTTTAACGACATGAATCATATTTGACACATCACAGTACCATTTGCTCTGAGAAACAATTCCAGAAAATCCTTTAGGGGAGATATAACCCAAAATGTTGAATGTCTCTGCCTAATCAACATCTCAAATGACCAAGAAACTTAAATGACAAAGGGTCCACTCTCGGAGGGTGAAGAGTTTTTAATCTATCCTTCTCAAACAGCATGCATTTGCTCCACACTCCTCACAAATCTGGATAATACTTTATATTGGTCTTCAGTTTGTTTTGTTGCCTTTTCTAATCAACCATTTAGCTGGAAAATAAACACTTGGCATGAAGGCGCGTTCAGTATGACTCTTCAAACTCTCTGGAGGGCCCAGAGAACCATTATGCATTTAAATATGGAAAAGCTTTGGAAAAACACAGTGCTGCTTTTTTTCCAAACACAAGAATAGCCCCTGGTGAAAGCATATCCTATCAATCTACTACTCCCGGATTCACCAAGGCCCGGCTGGTGCCAAGAGTTCACCACATGGAGGCTGCTCCGGAGGGGGAATGGCTGCGGCTTTGGTCTGCTTGGGCTCTGCGGCAAACAGGCTCCCCGGCCCAGGGATCGAGTATGCCTGGGAGCGTGGAGTATGCCTGGGAGCGTGGTGGAGAAGGATCTTCCTGGGCCTTGGGGTCCATCACAAGTTAAAGATTTGGAGGTTGTCCGGATATGGAGCCAGTAGACCTCAGGTCCCCAGGAGGAATTGTGCCTTTCGATTCATCTGGATGTGTCGATAAAAACTGGCATCCTGCCCCCCCCATATCGCAGCAGTCATGTGGGCACCCCGATTCAGAGTCAGGGGCCTCCTGCCTCCCCTCGTCCCTCGTGGCCTGCCTCAAAGTGCTCGTGCTGAACGCCAATTTCTAAACGAATTCCTATAATTCCCGCAGAGCCACCGAGGACCGTTCAAATGCGATATCGCGTTCCTTGGAGCTTGGAAGAAACTCCAGCGCCAACGGTTACTGAAGCAGGCATCAAAGGACAGAGAGGCGGGCTGCCACGTATCCCCTAAATCAAAATGCATATTCATAAGACATTTACTGTACGTTACGGCATCTGGCAGGATAATCAGCGAAGCATGTGTAAGTATATTAATTAATTGACCTTTTATTGTCTACAAAAGTACGAACAGTCATGGTCGGGTTGTCACAAAAACAATCAAACTATGACAACAGCGCTAATCAGTTGATGAGTGAGTGGTGGAGGATTAGAAGCTAAATTCTGGGTTTACCTTCAGAGGAACTCACTCAGAAAAAAAATGAGTCAGAGCTGATTTTATGAACAAGATATCTCAGACGAGTTGGACCGGATACTGGCAGATTTACTTACTGCTCTGTGAAATTATAGTCAAAAATAAGCTTTTCTTGAAACGAAGGATGAAAAAACTGATCCAGAGTCTTGGCCACTATAAAATCCCTTTATGGGATTTTATGGGCTGGGAACGGTGGGGTAGAGGGGTGGTGTCTGCAGCTACCACAGCATCCATGAGGTGTCTGTAGATATGACCTCTCATTTGGAGATTTGGAGTTTAAAAACACCCAACTTGAACAAACAAAATTCAGGCCTACTACAGGTAATGGCAGCATGTTGGATGTTTGTAATTGTTCAGACGTGTGTTATGAAGTTATGAGGAATAAGTATTCAAGGACAACACCTTAGATGGCCAAGCATGACGGCTCAGTGGGGAGCACTGTCACCCCACACCTCTAGGTGGGGGTGTGTCGTTTGCATGTTCGCCCCATACTCCGTGGGCTTCCTCCCAATCCAGCCCCCCGCAGTGCTGGATATGTGGTTAGGAAACGCATGGAACAATTTGAACGGTATAACACAGAAAATCCACATTCATTACTTAATACTAATAACTATGATCATAATAATAAATTTAGTTTTTGCAACACACAGACACACTCTTTATATATGTGTGTGTATATATAAGGGTTAGGGCCATTGCTGCAAACAGTAAAATATATTTGTGCATTAACCACAAAATGTATTTTAATTATGTGTACAGTTCCAGTTATAATATCCACAGCAAATGATTATCGTCCTTAGGACAGGGATGAAAATGAATCTGAGATGAAAATAGATTCAGTTTTGCTGGTTATGTTTATGCAGCACCTGTGAATCATTGGATTATGCAAAGTACATTTTGAACACTTGTCGGGTTCACCTTTATTCACTACGACCTCTCTGGGGGGGAGGGGGGTGTGGCCTGAGTCAGGCACTGTTTACCTGGTGTAGAGTATGGTGTTCCTATAGTATACCAGGTAGTCTGCGTTTACTTTCCATACAACTCATTGTCTTTGTATTTTGATAGTATTTTTCTATCTGTGTTTTATGTCCACGTCTCAGCACGTTGTGCTCAAATGATCTGATTTTCCGGGTTCAAAAGTCTTTCATATTCATATTCTATTTATCTCAATGTATTTTTTGCACTATGACCAATGAGATGGAAATTTCATCTCAGCGTCTGAATCATGGATCATATAGCTGAAGACAACAACAAAGAAACTTTACAAACTAACCGCGGACGAAACGGTTCACATCTCACTGCAGAATCCCTCCTCAGCCAAAGACGACGGTCCAAAGTCGCGGTGCGTATGGCCCGTCCCTTTCCAACAACACTCCGCTTGTCACAACGTCTAGAACGCATGACGAAGTATTAATGAAACGATGTTTTACACACCGCGCTGTTGTGATGGGTCGCCCCGGACAGTGAGTCCGACCAACGCAGGACGGATTGGCTTTATTCGCGCGATAAAGACTCGCGGATCCGGGCCAGAGACCAGGCCGCCGCAGGGCAGGCAGAGCCAGGTATCATAGAGTAACAGTACTTCATTTACATTTAATCCTCTGGCAAAAGCTCTTACCCAGAACAACTTGCACGGCCGTCTATTCAAATGTAAAGCAAGCGCCTTTAACGGGAGACGGATAAACGTAGCAGGAGCCGTGCTGAAGGACGGGGGCCAGAAGCAGCAAAACTTTGGCCGCGAAACTCTGAGAGCCAACGGAGCCCGAACACGGCCATGGAAGCCAGTGCGGCCAACGGCGGCGTTTCGACATCAACTGCAACACGACTTCAACCCTGACAGAGTGGGAGGGGAAAAAAAGAAACGAGGCTCGATATTTATTCCTTTTCACAATTAGTATAAGAAATAGATTTAAGTATTTTAGTACTTAAAACTTCCATTTCCTAGTTCCAATGTGATGTCTTGGACAGGAGATAAATCTTTGTTTCCAAAGCAATGGTTTTACATATTCAACAAACAAAAAATTAAAATAACTAACATTCATACTTTGATTTTTGGAAAAAAAAAAAGTGCTGTACCCCACCCCCAGCGTTCCCAGGCTTCTTAATTTAAAATCTCCCCCTTGGGTGGGTCTCCTAACCACATACAACACCTACACAGGCAGGACATAATCTTCTTCTGCACAACACACATCTTTATGCCCTACAAATGCTGTTTTTTATATTATTTTAAACACAGTATTCATATCGTTATTCTTCCCAAACACTAGCAGGCAAACCCGCTTATGCCCGCTCCTCGGGGTACATACCCTTGCCACTCTTCCCCAAAATACTGTTTTCCCAAGCAAACCAGTGATTCCATCCCTTACTAAACACCATCCATCTCCCCTTGCGCGTTCCCTATTGCCCACAAGACAGTGCTCTTAATCTCCATGAAAAGCACTGCTCTATAAACACAAACCCCCCCCCCCCCACCTACGACTCCCCACTCGGAGCCTCTGAGGGACTGAGGAAGGACCTCCCATCACTGGTGGTCCCCGCGGGCCGCAGGAATCCGCGGCAGGGGCTCCGCAGCGGCCTGTTTTCTCCGGAAAGGCCCACCGGGGAAGCCCAATTAGACGTTCCCATGGAAGGCATTGTTGCTTTGTGGTTGGGAGGGGGGGGGGCACGGTAAGAGAGAACAAAGAATCAATTAGAATGAACGCGACCTTCGGAGGGTGCCCCCGCAGGCGAGGTGTGGGCTGCACGTGTGGCGCCCCGCTTAAACCTGCACGTGGCTACATGCCTCCCGTATGAATTCCCACAGGTACTGGGCTCAGTTCAAGCCCCACACCCCACCTTAGAGATAACCATTTATCTTGGAAACGGGCCAAACTCTCAGCGCATTTATGCTGAACCCTGCGATCTTGCAGTGGCCTCCCTTACTGCCTGTCACGGAAAACAAATAAGAAAACTAATAATAATTATTTTAAAAACTCAGCAAAATTAAACTGAATTGCTTATGACAAACAAAACTTGAGGGAAAGCGGATTCCTTAAGGGACATTGTGAGTGTTTACCTTGAATTTCTGACACATCTGTGAGAGCAGAAATAAGTTCCTATCAACGGAATCTTCAAGAGTATAAGGAATCTCCAGAGACTGAATGGATAATGAACTGCAAGATAATAATTCATATGTGAAATTATATTCCATACACAGTTCTCTTAATTTCTGTTTAATTAAACAATACCTAAATTAGATGGTCGCACACAGCAACACGGTTCATTCATGACCACTAAGAGCAAACTGGGGTTTTCTCACGAGGCCTCAGCTGGGATCTGGCACAGCTGAAGGACAGGGGCGTCTTTAAAAAGATCATTAACTTCTCAGTTGAAGGCGTGTGTGGTGGCGCTGTTTCCGAGAGCATGGGATCTATCTGTCTGTTTGTCTGCGTAAAGGCAGCCCTTGACTTATGTAAAACTGGCTTATTTCAATCTGGATTTACTCAAAACATATCAGATATGTCCAGGGCTTTTATGGAGCTGGTGAAGGCAAAAGGTGCCTTACACTTACAATATGTTTAAACTTAATCTTTTCATTTATTGTGTGTTCTTCAGTATGTATTGCTAGTTTTTTTTAGCTTGCTTGTATTTATACTATAAGGTGTCTTGAATGGTATGGGGAAGGGTAAATCATGTAAGGTTTCATGGAAATAATTACTTTAGCGAAATGAGAACTTCCTGGATGGATGGATATTGTGTGTAGTCCTGTTATTGACAGTCTTAAAACAAAACTCCCTCATTTTACTAACTTGTGTGGCAAGACAGGGTCAGCTGCGTATCCCCCCCCCCCCAGTTGGCTTTGAAAGTGCTGACCCTTCATGAAGATTTAAATGAAAAATCAGCCGACTGCTCCTGGGCTCAAATCACATGCAGAGTCAATAAGGAGACAAATTCACTGGAAAAAAAACAAAACAAGAAAGGTCAGAGGTTAAAGGTGCCATGAGGGTTAGGGCACATGCTCATTCCCTCATTCCACGGACGCACAACCTGAAACCCTGATATGATTCCCACCCGTCCGTTACGCGCGTTTCGAGCCGGGCGTCAGGTAATTCTGAGTTCCGAGGCTCTCTTGGCGTTGGGTCAATCCTCTCGGATGCATCTTATCCAAGCAAGCTGCGGAGGATGCGAGCCGGGCTGATGCGGGGAAACTGGCTTTTCGGGCGCCGGGGTTTGCTATGAAGCCGACCGGCATGAATTAACCACCGAGGGATGCGGTATGGTGACGGTGTGGAATGACAAACGCTCTGAGGAGGCGCCAAACGCAAGGAGATTTTCTTTTTTGTAAAGATTACAATTCCTCTGGCAGAGATCTGCATAAGATAGGCGTGAGAAAGCCATCATTAAGGTGGGGTATTTAAAAAAATTTAAAAAAAAAAAGATTTCACAATTTGGAAATTCATGTGAAATCCTCCCCTCTGCCCGTAACCTAGAGACACGCAGAACCTCACAATATTTAATTAGCAAATTAAATAATTTATCCAGGAGACATCGCAATCCTTTAATGTTGGATTTTCAATTTGTGTATAATTATTAATTCTCTCCTGACATTTACACACCCAGTGCTTAATTGAAGTCACCCAGCTGCTGTGGGGGGCAGCAGCGCTGGCGAGTGACGCGGGGAGGCAGGAAGCGAGACGGGACCGCCAGATCGCTCGTTACTCCAGCAGAATGGTACACCTGGGGTTCATCCAGGCAGGGGGGTCAGAGGTCAAACGCATTTGCTCAATAATTATTGACAAGCAGATGCCATGCACTAAATTGCACGCCGGCTCAAAAGAAGGATCTGTATTTTTTGGGGCAGGGCGTTCCACAGGATAATATAAACAGATTTAGAGCGGTCATTGTTTCCCTGGGACACAGCCGCTCGGGGGTGTGGTGGGGGGGGAGGTAGGAAGGAGAATGGGGAGTGTGGTTGGCGGGGTGACGTACGCATAAATGCATTCAGGCGCAGGAACGCAAAACAACGCCTCACTGCCGAACACTCTGTTTCACATTTCAGTCATCGTGGGGGGGGCGGAGGGGGGGGGT